GGGAGCTTTTACGCGAGTTAGGGAAGCGAGAAGAATGAGTATGTGTGTAGTGAGAGTGCTGTATTGATTAAAGAGGAAGAGTATAATGTTTAATGGATGTCATAGAATGAGAAACTGGTTGAGTGTATTGATTTTGGTGGATGTAGGTGAGAGAGTAGTGTATGTAGCTAAATGGGCACACACATCTAGTTAGAGAGTGCGAGTAATTAGTAGTTATGATAGGGCAGCGTTAATAGTTAGAGTACTGCAGGAGTCTTAATTGGAGGTTTGATTATTTGAGTTGGTGTGAGCCTAAGGGTAGTATTTGAAAGCGTTTTGTTACCTTTTTTTATATATTTAAAATATTTTTTATTTTGTTTGAGCAAGGGGATTGTTGTTATGCGAGAATGGAAATGCGGTTCAGAGTATGCTGATCGGTTGAGTTCTGTTTTATTTAGAGGAGCTGAAGTGGAGTTGAGGTTGGGGATTCGTGAGAGGATCTGATTGTGTCTGGTATTGGAGTTCGTGAGCATGGTTTGATGGTAAGGGTGAGATGATCCTTTCTTGGTTAGGTTTACTGATGATAGTTTTTAGCTGGAGGCGCTAAAGCTGTAGGATTGTGTTGGTGGGTTGATGGTGCCCCCGGGTTGTCCTGAAGACGACACCCCCCCCCCTTAGCGACTGTATAATGAAAGTGCCATCATAACCTTCCGTATTAGTTTTAGTAGAGATGGTAGTTACGATTAAGCATATTGCTATTTCGCCCATCGGTATTTCGGAAAAAGGTGGGTAAAGAGTAACCCATATGGTGTTAGAAAAGCTAATAAGTCTGATATATAAGAAGTGAGAGTCTGAAAGTTGGTGTTGGAATAGAATGGAAGTTGACGTTGAGTAGCATGGTTAGTATCAGAAGAAGTGAGGAAGAAGTTGTATCAACCGAAAATGGCAGATGCAGCACACTAGGCATTGCTAACTTCAGCACTTGACTGTAATACTTAGTATTTTACTACAATTTGTCACGGGTTCCCAGAAAATAAAGTGGAATCATAAAAATGACAATGAAAATATTCAAGGAAATGAATGACGTGTTCTTTTTTTTATCTGGACAACTTCATAATGGTTTGTGTTTGAAAGACTCAGCACAGTGGAATAGTACAGGAAGAAGGAATCCAAACCCACTCACTCAGTGGTGATAAAAAGTGCGGTGATGTTTTGACGGGAATGTGATGTTGGAGAATAAACAGTGCACATTTGAGATTGTATCTGTCCTATTGTTATACAGAATGGTTATAAATTGAGGTCTAAAAGAAGTTAAATATAGTGGTGTTTGCGATGTACCTGGCCCCAGCATGAAAAACTGTGTATTTAGAGATGACATCAGCTCTACTCACTCACAAGGAGGAGGCAATGAGGAGGCTAAACCAACACAACCTGTTCTGCAAACATGTGACGGGGGAGTTAATGGGTTCAGGGAATCATCATTGGACAAAATCATCAGGACCCTTTTATCAGTTATTTTTACATCTCCAATGGCTATATCCATGTGAAGCTAGGAGGTAGAGTAAACAGCCCATAGTACAAATGGGAAAAGAAATGATAAATGGTATTGATTTATTTTGTATTGACTTATTTAACCAGGAATGATGTTCACGAAGGTTTCAGAATTTTTATTTTTCTGGGGAATCCTCAGAAACCGGAGTAGCCAGAGATAACGGACATGGACACAGGGAAAGCAATAAACTTTATAACTTCAGAAAGGCTTTGTCAGGAGGTGGAACCGAACCCATGACCTTTTTAGAAATGTGACAGATGGAAATATCTATGATCATAAACATACTGGCAAAATTCGGAAAGCTAGAATATTGTTTAAAAGTCCATTCACATTTTTGTTTCAATGTGAGACTAAAGTATAACTCAATAAATGCAAATGATCATAAGTGGTTCAAAAATTATGGCTTTTGTCACTTTGCATTGAATCTAGTCTATATCAAATATTGGTTTCACATTTTAAGCTGAATTCCAGAAACTTCCAGAACCTTTGGACAATATTCTAAGTTTCACAAGTGCAACATTTTGTACAATAAGCCAGTTTGAGCAAAAGTCAAATCTCTTAGCAGCATGTTTTTTGTTATGTTTGATGAAATAATAATAAGTGTTTATCAACCAAAAGGCATGTAATGGTAATTCACCATAATGGAATGTAATTATTAAAAGAATGTGGTCATGCATTGCTTGTGAATTATTTATCAATGTCCTTACAAATGATTTACTGATAATGAATCACGATATGCTTTATGTATGTTCTTAGAGCATTTGCAAATCAAAAATGCATTTAGCTTTTTCTAGGCTATCTTGATACTTTGGCTTTCAATATGTGCCTATGAACCAGTACTAGCTAATGAAATGGAAGTCTCTATCTACTTTAATGTCATAAAGGTATTATAAATAACATAATTATGGTAAGGCCATAGCAAAATGGCAGCTGAACCACTAACAAACCGATGCTAACAATGCTTAAATATTATTATTGTAGTTAACATAAAGTATAACCCAAACATAAAAAAGACAGGATAATCTCTGTTCAGACATTGCAATAGATACACAACAATGCAGTAATAATCAAATTCCATTAAAACAACACGATTCCGAGAAACGGTGCAGCTAAATGTGTCATATAACAGCCTCTTTCTGTTTTCTCAGAAGCTGTTTTTGTGAATAAGTGTCTGGATCAGTGACTCGTTCTACAGTCACGTCAGGACGGAGCTCCCAAAGCTCATGCTGCACTGAACCACGTCTGCGTTTCATCTGAACTGACAGATGTTCCCCAAAGAAGGATGTAGAGCCTGAGAGACCACCAGCGAACACAAGAGGAGCCAAACCAGCAGTCTCTGGGCCAGACCTGCAAGCGTCCACATGGAGAGAGAAGCTAATACACGGATACAAAGAAAGAGGAAAACCAGAATTGCAGAAAGTTACCGCTCCTAGTTAGAAAATAATATAATATTAATAAGTATAATATGGTCATGGCACAGGTGATATGGCTTCATAGTGAAAAAAGTGGTGGACAAAATTTAATGCAAAGTTGGTTCAGTAAATGGCAAGTTCAAAAGCTCTCCGTGAAGCAATTTTACATTACATTAATTTCCAAATTTGCACAGTATCAGTAAATATTTAGTTTTTTGTAGAATGCAATGAAAGTCATAGATTCTAATAATTATTCAATAGTTCAGTCTGTTTTAATCCGTGTTTTGTATTATTGATTGGTGATGATTATTACCACCAACTACTGCTACTACCACCGTTACTATACTATACTGTAAAAATATTATCATCAAAAATGGATTTAAACTCCTCATAATCATAATTTTATCTTTATTTATCTCTACTGTTATAATTAGCCCACATGTATTGTCCTGCAACCACAAAACAATCCAGAATATGAAGATTTCTCTTCAAATGGAAATCAGTGCAATAAGGACTTCTTGTCAGGGTCTTACTCCAATCAGTCACACGCTAACTACAAGCTTGGACGCTGCACTGAAGCCTAAATCACTTACGCTTCTCAGTAAGTGCAAATTACACCAGCCCTGGACCTAAAAGCTAGAATTAGTCTCCTGAGAGATAGTCCTGATGTGGAAATGGCAGCAGCAGGTTGTCAGTTCAGGAGCCTGACATCAGCATCGATACTCAATCTTTACCAGTGTTACTCTGTTAGCAAGAGACACACAAATTACCACAAGCCTCATTTAAAGCTGGGGTATCTAACATTGTTCAATAAATATTAACTTTTTAATATATATTCAAATAGAAAGGCTTGTGAAAGTATGATTGTGAAAACTAATCCGACCACATGATGGCTGAGTGGATAGCATCCTCGCTTCTCAGCAAGAAGGTACTGGGTTGGAATCCTGGTCGGAAAAGGGCATTTCTGAGTGGAGTTTGCATGTTCTCCCGGTGTCTGCGTAGGTTTCTTCCAGGTGCTCCGGTTTCCCCTATTACTAAAAACATGTACAATAGGTATGAATGTAGACGAGAGAGTGAATGGATGGTGTTGATTGGGGCCTTTGATGTGTTCGGAGACTCGCTTCAGTCATCACCGAGAGTGAAGTGATTGGAACAATATCTGATTTCTGAACAATTGTAAAGAGCTTTGGGTGACCTTGGTCTGTAAAATGCGATATATATTTAACATTACTTACTTACTTACACGTTCAATTGATTACAAAAAACATTAGCATACTTGTAAGACGGAGCCCTGCGAGTGACATTGAGGCTTTGGGCTGAGTCGGGTTTTAGAAAATGTGACAGGGGCAAAAATACATGCATGTAAAGTCATGTGATGTTTTAGCGCCAGCACTGATTACATAGATTTTTTTATTAAATAGCATTATTGTTATTTTGGATTTGAAAGTTCGGTACCTCAGTTTTAAAACTTCAGATAAGAAAAAAGTGTGACAAAGATGACAGTTTATACTTAAATTTTTGAACGCATTAAATGATGATTTCAGCTGGTTTATTCACACCTTCATTTTCAGCTCATTGGAAGCAAAGACATTTGTTAGTACAATACATTTTATACTGTACACATGCATCCACTATTTGATATAAAATAAGATGTTGCAGCACTGAGTTCAAAATAAAATCTTACACGTTAAAGGTGAACTCTGTGGAGAGGCGAGCTCACCGTGTCTGTGATTGAAATGACATGTTCTTTGTGAGCTAGCCTATAATTACTTACTAAACAGCAAAAACAATATTGAGTTAGCTAAAATAAAAGTCCCTGAAACAAAGAGGAAAACATGACATTACGCATGAACACAAAAAAAAAAGTAATTGCTCTTTGCCGGTGAGAAGCATTTCAAAATAGTAAATATAGAAGTAAAAATGCAAGTACTAAGGATAATGAAATAGTTTTGTTGTTCCCTGGTTAATGATTCTAAGCAGCTCACAATGCATTCCCTTCATCTAGATCTGGTGTGTTTTCAAGTGCTCCATTCTTGATGAATTTATCTCCCGACGTTTCACTTCTTCTTCTCTGGGTGCTGTGTGAAGGCAACAAGATCAAGAGACAAACAAAAAGATCAATACGCCTGTACTTGGAAGCAGGAAGACAGAAAAAAACATGATTAGATTTTCTCCTCACATTGGGGAAATACTAAAAGTGAATTCACTTTGAAATCAGAATTGGGTGTCATCACTTGTATGAAACTTATGTTGGCAGTGATTACAGCAGGCGAACTGAAATGTTACTGGCCTCAAAACAACCTGCTGTCCCAAACAATTAGGTGCACGGCTCATCAAGGGCACATGAGGCAGAGACGGCTGGGAGTCCATAGGGGAATCTGTCTCCATTTCATTCCCATTTGCTAAAAGATGGACAGCTAAGCGTCCCTACTTTTAAACCACTCGTTCATATGTCTCACAGATTCTATCACTGGTTTATGTGAAAATGAGAGGACCCCAAACTCTGTCAATCAGCTCTCAGGGGTCATTTTCAAATAAAATTTAGACAATATGGTGTGATCTGATTTTTTTCTTTTTTTACAACATTTTACTTTTACAAGATTATTCATGCTGCACCAAATAATATTAAAACTTATGGGAAAATAAAAAACCTAGGGCAGTGGAGCATGAAAATAGTTATAGTCTTATTTCTTATTTCTGCAGAATAAAAATATTTCATCAGGTTTTTAATCAAATCCGAGGTGTGTCAGTCCTCTCTATAATTATATTCTCCAGGGGCATCACTTGATCTTTGTTTTGGTTAAATGTGTAAAAAATCTAGTATTCACTGACCTTTTTTAATTTAAACGATGAAAATGAGTAAATCGAAAGAATAATCGGCCATTACATTTATAATCAAAATAATAATTCATTACAGCCCTATAATTTTCAAAATGTGTTTATATAAAATGTCCAATATTGTTAAACACACAATCCTGACTGGTTTTGAAAAAGTTTGCGGAACTGTTCTATGGAATTGCTATCTCATCGTTTTAAGAGGTACACAGCTTAATAAGTTTATCATATCTATATTTAGACTTTGAACTCTTTGGATAATATTATAACGATGGGTCAGTTTGGATTGATATTATTAATTTCAAACACTTACAGCAGCAGCCAGTGCTTGATCAATATCCTCGATGATATCGTCCTCGTCCTCCAGCCCCACAGAGAGTCTGATCAGCGTGTCACTGATTCCAAGCACAGCCCGTTCCTTCTCAGGTACTGATGCATGGGTCATGATAGCCCTGAATAAAGGATAATACTCAGTTATTTGGAAGCTGTGGGCACTGAAGAATGGAAAAAGACATGTGCGCCACTTGTTTAACAATGCTGCCCCCTTTTGGCAAAAGTGAGCAACACAGTGAGCTTTTGTTTACTTACGGATGCTCGGCTAAACTTTCATATCCCCCCAGACTCTCTGCAACTGCAAACAGCTGAAGCAACAAAAAACAGTCTGGTAAAGACTTACAATAAAATGTATATCAAATTTGATTGTTATATATATATACATTTCTTCATGGAAAATGGAAAATGTAGGTATTATTGGAAAAAGATCATTTTGTCTTTTTATGTTTAAGGCTTATAAGGATAGTACAATAAGACAAAAAAATGAAATGAAGCCAGTACTAGCTTCTTTACATGTTTTGTCCAAAAGAACCTTCTGATTCTTAAACTGTAGGTATGCTGTGGCCAGAGGTGACTGAGGTGCTCTACAGAAGGACTGGACAGTCTGTTCTCTGTTAGAGGATGTCTCTTTAGGAACAGTATCCCCCACACCACACTCCCTACAGATTGCCCCTTTAAAAATCAACTGAAAATATCTGTTTTAAATCCAACAAACATTGCACTGACTGGAAGATGAGTGGAGTACATGAAAACATTTTGCTGACTCAGCGCAGCTTTTGCTCACAAGAGACTTTAATTATCGCCACAAGATGTGACGTTTCGTATGACACCACCCTTCATCACCCGAAACGTCACATTTTGTGGTGATAATTATAATCTCTTGGGAGCGAAATCTGTGCAGTCAACACTTTGTCAACATTTGATAATGTAATTTTCTTCTGATGGCACATACTTTGAGGTTGCTGAGGAAGGTACTCGCATGTTCGAGCTTGCCCTTAATGTAGAAGGTGATCATTCCCGGGCATCCAGTGCATTGTTTCTTCACAACAGCATATTGTGGATGGGAGGGGAGACCTATAACCAAAACATATTAAAAAGTCAGAATCTGACAAGTTCAAGTTCAACTGGTATCATTTAGACAGCTTTGAAAAGTACAATAAAAGTAATAGCCTCTAATGTGAATAACAATTTCTTAAACTGTACTTCAAACGTTTTTTCTTGAGAATATCCCACGCCACACCTGGAAAGATGACACGCTCCACCCTGGAATCTGCCTCCAAAAATCTAGCAGCAGCCATTGCATTTTTGAAGTGTCTCTCCATGCGAATATGCAGCGTTTTGAGGCCACGATTGCACAAGAAGCAGTCAAAAGGAGATGGTACTCCGCCAAGTGCTGCATCAAAAAATAAAAGTTGGTATGATTTTAACAAAAGTAACAATTAAACTTTGGGGACAAATGATTAATCACAGTTTCACACAACAATATGGAATATAGAGTATTATATAGTTATAAAAATGTAATATATATATATATATTTAGAATTATAAATATACAAACATAAAATAATAATAATATATATTACACACCATTTTGAAGAAATTTGAGTCGGTCATAGAGCGCCTCGTCGTTGACAGAGAGAAGACCCATTACTACATCACTGTGCCCTGTAAAGGTGAAGACAAAGATGATCAGAAGTAAAATAGCAAAGACAAAATCGAATGGAAGACCCTACCATTCATGTATTTGGTTGCAGAATACATGCAAATGTCTGCGCCGAGCGCCAATGGCCTCTGTGGAAATACAAGATTCCATTAGCAACTTGTTGGATCATGAATGTAATTACACAAGAATTTACACGACAAAACAAAAGCAAAAACTTCACACTCACCTGAAAGTAGGCTGACATAAATGTGTTGTCCACTACAACGATGATATCTTTGTCAAGGCCATGGACTAACTCTGAGCAGGTCCTGATGTCCACAACTTTCATAGTTGGGTTTGTTGGAGTCTCAATCCACACCATCTATATACAAATAACAAAACATAAAATATAAGTAAGGGATAATGTAAAGTAGTAAGCTTCGCCCTCTCGGTACTTATTTTCCGATAAGGACTTGCCTACTATCTACTATCGTCCTGGTTATTATACGGCTTTGTATCAACAGAATACACAAAATAAACTTCAGTCCACTTTTATGAATGCGGAAAGGTTTATTTAATGACTGCAAATAAATTAGTTCCCAAAGGTTATCCCGTGGCTATGCTAGTAACAGTTAGGCTAGCAACTTCCAAACTAGAACTCTCTCGAACTGCATGAAAACTGAACAAAGAATTCTGAACATCAGCGGTGAGTGACCCAAACATAAACTCAACCTAAATCCACAATTCGATCCGCTGCAAATGTACGAATGAGTCCTAAAATGTCCCGGAATGCCCTTTTGGGTTTATCGCAATCGCTTTTTCTCCGATTAAAACCGCATTTTTGTCATGAAAACCTTATTAGATCATTCTGAAAACCTTCGTGCATGTGTATTAAGAATGTATATAATGTATTCTCCGATTAACATTTAAATGTGTTGATTGATTGGTATTTGCGTTAATTGAGCGTGGCTAGCTCCGGAGTGGCCGGAACTACTTGCGGAGTAATCTACACATCTGAATTACAAGCAGAGAGTGCGTTGCCATGGGCAGCGGTCATTATTGTTTTGAGAGGTCAGTTATCAAGAAATAATGACCAGTAGAACGTTTTGAAATCATGTTCAGATCAATGGAGCGTTCCACTGCTGCTGTGAGGAGCCGTGTTATAACAAAATATAACACAATATAACAAAACATACACTTTAAGATTGCAGACTGTCAGCTCCAGCAGGAGTATGCTGGCTTCAGTACATCGTTACTTTGTTTCATAAAGAGATGTTGGTTTTTTTATGTTTGTGGTTTCAAAGTTAGGTTCTCCAGCCTCAAGCCTTTTGTTATTATCATTTGTATTGTCGTTTTTCGTTGTTTTAACTATGTGCTACAAATGCAAACAGAATAGGTACACACCCAATGAAACTGAAAAATGTCAGCATGAATAAGCACTTACTTTTGTGTTGTTCTTAATAGCAGCCTTGAGCAGCTCTGGTTTTGTACAATCAGCAAAACTGATTTCCAAACCAAACTGAGAAGCAACTCTTTGGAAGTAGCGATTTGTTCCTAGCAGTAGATAAAAAACAAGATGATTACAGTGATGTCAAGTGTTTTCCATGAGGATTCAAAAGAGATACCATACCTCCATAGACGTCATCCATGCACACTATCCCATCACCGGCCTTGAGCATGTGAGTGATAGTAACAGTAGCAGCCAGTCCAGATGCAACAGCAAGACCTGGAATTAAATAATAATAATAATAATAACAGTGGAGCTTGTGTTTTGTCTGTTCAGAATCTAAGAGTAGAGGTGAAAAATAGATGTAAAAGTCAATAAAGACACTAGCCATTGTAATAAACTCAGGAGCATAAAACGTGTGCGTCCTCCTATGATGTGAAGTTCTATTCTTGAATAGAATCAACTTGTACCATGTAATAATACAATGGTCAGTTTGTTTGACACAAAAAGATAAGATAAAAGGCAATATAAATTATAGGACAATCAAGAAACTATTTATCACTTACAATACTTGGCTCCATCTAAAGCGGCCACCGCCTTCTCAAGGACGTTTCTGGTTGGGTTCCCACTTCGGCTGTACTCATACCCCTACACGAATCAAACAAAAAGTTGTGAGCAATTAAACTATTAAAATGTGAAAACAGTTTATACGAGAAGGTGGAGCTTGTGATGGAAAATCGGGTTTTGGAAGATGAATCACCAAAACCAAACAGTAGATAGTTCGTTCAATTCATAACAGCTCTATGGCCTTGTCTCCGGGGGTGCGCCTCTGTGTGAATAAGGCCACCTGTGAACATTCACCAGAGTCTGCCACTTCAGGATCCCATAATCCCATAATTATTGCCAGAGTCCATGGCAGATGAACTGCGGTCTACAGCTCATGTGGGATAAATTGAGAAATAAAATAGGAACTATCCCAGTATAGGGACAAGAGAAGACACATTTATAAATACGGATATAGAATGCTCCTATGAACAACACACATAGTGGTTTTTGCGCAGGTCCAGAAACGCTCATTTTGAGGCCATAATAACTTGGAGACTACGAGCACATTTCTGGCCCCTCACACCCACCCTTAAATAACCCGGGCATATCACTTACAGCGTGGTTTCCTGGCCCGTTCTGCTTAAACGTGGTTGAAAGAGAAATTGGCGGAACCACGGCCATTGACTTCCATTGCTCTGGTTCCTGTCCGCTGTGAATAGCATCTGTAGCAAATGACTTGAAGACCGTGTGGAAGCCGGAGAACAGGTCGTTGTGGTCCTTCTTGGGCTCCATAACAAAGCTCTCCTCGTGGGGCAACAGGGACAGGATAAGACCGGCTACAGCAGCAGCGGTACCACGTCTGAGCGCTGAAGGAAGCGCATGTCAACCATAGCCGCTGAGGCTCCTGGCCAATCAGCGAACGTCAACACTCGCTGCTCGCCCGGGATTGGCTCCTGGCCAGGGGCGTCCAGAGCACGTGAGCCGGGCCCCACCCCCATTTTCTTGTTTGAGTTCCTCTCATATGGAAGCAGCGTACATGTGGTGCTGGCTGTGACTGACGCAATCCGCACACAAATATTCCCCTGTACTCGTTTGGATAGTACCTTCTCTGATCCTAATCTCTGTCCTTCTCCCACCGCACCCTCATTTTCTGTGTGTAAAATATTGTTTTGAGTGCCTCAGGTTATTATGCTCCCATCCGTGTTGGGGAGTGTCAGGACACTATGTTATAGTAACTGTAACTATTTGGAGTCGTAAACCCTTCCATTTACTTTTGTTGGTCTTCAGAAAACAGTTTATACTTTTCAAAAAAACCACAAGGAATACATTATATATTTGATCCTGATGCAAATTAAACAGGATGTTACAAGATGTGGCTTGCGAGTGTAATGGTGATGGTGTACACTAGTGTTTTATTCATTTATCCTTTTCTAATCATCATATAACCGCAGTACAAACAGTTAGTATGCTATACTTATTCCTAAGTATTCAGAATGTGATTCTTACAAAATAATTTTTATGATCATGTCTTCAGTATGTTTGCCCTTTCATACTATGCGATGTTTACTTTGATATATCTTAAAATAACAACGTAATTAAGCACTACTGCATGTACAGTATAGCTATAAAAAGTATAGTCCATGGATCATTATATGGCATAGTTGTAAATGCTGCATTACCAACATTAAAGACATGTGGTTTTAATACAGAGTTTATCCCACAGAGGGAGAACTTGCAACTCTTTCTATAAGAAGTTATATGTTACAAACTGCCTAGAGGAAAATAGATTCGTACATATATTTATATTAAATGTGATGATGCATGCCGTTTTATATATGTGCGGCATCACAATTAACGCCATCATCAATCTTATGGCAATCTTATGGCCTGTGTCTTACACATACTCTCTGAAAAATATCAATAATGAAATACACACATAGAAGATATTCTACAACATTTTATTTTATTGCAAAACATAATAAAAGTATGTTGTCTCTCGCTGGGAGACATTCAACATAAAAAAATAAAAAAATACATTCGGAGAAAGTCACAGTATTTTTATTTATTCTTTCCTCTTGATGAGCAAAATAAGATTCAATGTTTAACGATGTGAGGGATCAAGGATGGACTTTTTGTTTTGTTGATTTTTTCATTCGCGTATTGTCATTTAGCCGTAAATGTTACGTTTCACGTTCGTCAAAACACGCGCAGTTGTGTGTAAGTGCAGTTGTGTTCTTGATTACAGGTGTAGAAATAGAAATACCTTCTATATTATTATTAGTGTTGTTTGTCCATTATGTGCCCGACAGTAACCTTTAGTAAAGTCTCGCGTGAGTTCACGGCGGAAGACTTGTACGCTGCTTATGCCAGTGCGTGAGCGTGTGCGTGCGTCTGCGCGGTGACCAGAGCCTGTGACCGGGACACTTTGTGGGAGCAAACTGTTTATGCTCTTCCCAGATCGACGCACCTATTACGGTTCATGATCTTTTCTCTCTAAACCAGGGACTTCCGCGGGTTCATGAGCTGCATGTGTCCGTGTCCGCGCAGACTTCAGCGGGCGGAGGAGTGCTGGTCCTTCGGTGCTTAGAGGAAAGATGACCGGAGAGAAGATCCGCTCTCTGCGCAAAGACCAGCGGCCCAGCAAGGACGAGGATCTCCTGGAACCCGACGAGGAGGCAGCGACGGGCACTTTCACCACCTCCAAGGCCCACAACAAGAGTAGAGCCAGTAAGATCTTCAGCAACCACAAGATCCCCAAGTCCTCCTCCTCCTCCTCCTCCAGCCAGCAGCAGAACCAGCAGTCCCAGAACAACGCCAACACTCCTGCCCTGTCCACAGAAGTCACCGATGACAACAACAGAAACCCCATACTCCGAGCCGTGCAGGACTATCCCGTGCATGAGTGTGTATTCAAGGGAGATGTCCGCAGACTGTCTTCTCTGATCCGTACACAGAACATAGCCCAGAAAGATGTACATGGTGAGTGTGTACGAGTGTGTATTCAATTACGCAAAACGTGTTGTTATTATAGTTGTTTGCACAGTAACCCGCGCTCTTAAAATAATAGGCGTGTACGTGCACGTCAAGTCACCTGTGTTTACTGCCACTATAGGGATACAAGGGATTTTTGATTTTTTTTTTAAAGAGTCCATTGAGTGTATTTGCAACATTTAAGCTTGTTTCTGTGTATGGAAACGGTCTAGCTAAGACACGAATAACTTGGTGTTTTGAGATTTTAGACAATAATTACTTTTCACACTATCTAGAAATGGCGTTTCTAATGTATTTTAATAATCTACTTTCTACAGGAAACACACCTTTACATCTTGCAGTCATGATGGGGCACAAAGGTGAGCAAAACCAATACTTGTCACAGTTTCATTATTATTGTTATTGAACTATGTCCTTGTGTCTCTTTAGATACAAAGCTTAGTCAATTCCTACATAGGTACAAGTGTTATTCAAAAAAAGAAAGGAGGCATTTAAATTCCTTCCAAATAATCAATAGTCAACATACATTTAAAAGAAGAACAGATACACTTTCGTTTTTACTTGGGTTTACTTAAATGTATTCATACCTTTTTAAAGACAGATTTTCACCTAACCAGTTTCTTATGGTTTTGTTATTAGCTAACTTGCACTTGGAACTAAAAGCACAGGGATGAAATATTGATGCCCTGTCCCTTGGAGAATCCATGCTTACATTCAAGAGAGCCTCAGAACACACTTCTGAAATTTTAATCTGGCTTTTTTGGCAACAGACCCTCTGCGATCAAGTGAAGCGTAGAGTTACCCGTGTTGCTCTTGTCTATTTGTTTAGCGTCTGCCACTGGAGCATACTTTCCATTGATTTCACATTTGTACATTTGTCACTCTGGTGGAGTCCATGAGTCCCGGTGATGCCTATGGTGGGCCACAGTGGGATTGATTGTGCTAATGCGTTGCCAGTCATTTACCACAGTGCTGGTCCAGTGTCCTCTAGGGATATTCAGAGCAGACATGGCAGCCTGGAGATGAGATCATAGTTTTGGGTGTGGCGCTCCTGCTGAGATGTACACAGACGGCATAGTTTTTTGTATTTATTTTTCCCTATGCTGGAATTGAGACGTGTTTAATAGAATGATCTAACTTTGAATTTAATCCCTTAAAAGCCCCAGCTGTGCAATATGATGTGTAATAACATGAGATTATTATAAAATGTTGAACACAATTCATTTAGATCAAAAATGTCACGCTTATTCTTCCCATAGTCAGAATCTATATCACCAACACATGTCCATTCAATGTTGTGGAGTTGATTTGGTCACCACAACAAAATTCTACAAAATGCATAATAATAAATAATAATTTAATGGGTCTTCTGCATTGTCAATCCACAATGTAATTTAGATTATAATCCGATATAATCAATAGTAGTCGTGTATCTGTGTCAAAAAGGAAAATGTTGTGAATGTTGAAGAATGAATAACAATGGGGCTGTAACTCATGATTTATTAATTCTTTTGAGATAAATCTGAATTGATGCCGTAAACAATTCCGTTCAAACCACATCCTTTGAGAATGACGTACTAATAAGACAATATTTTCAGAGTCGGCATGTGTTTTTTGCAGTGGTAACGTTTTTTTTTGACTAAAATAGTTGACCATTTTTCAAAATAACTTTGTCTTTAGACATGAGTTTTTTGTTGTTTTTCTTTTTTAGAAATTTGATATGAAACCGACAAAAGTTGGAGCCCTAAAACTTGATAAGAGAGCGGACTCCTAAAATCCATAACATCAATAAATATGCCTTAAAACTGTGTGTAGTAATGTATATCTTTGCCTGCCTATGGACTACAGACAAAAACTTGCTTGGCAGCTATATCCAGCATATTTACATTTGTTTTAAGCTGATGTTAATTCCTGTACTCTATAAAATAAATAAGTAATGAAATAGATCTGAGAAACCATTTTAGGACATGTTTGTGGGAACCCTGGTTGCTGTAGTGAAAGTATCCTAGCAGCTAAAGGGTCGATGAGTTGTAATAAATCAATCACACCCGAACAAATATGCAAACTTGTGTCCCAACCTTCAGTGAGGTCGGTAGATGAGCATGGTGATAATCTCTAATATCAGTATAGGGTGAGTTACGGTGGTTTTTGGCAAAGTGTGTTTTCACCACCTCATACCTCAGTGACTCCTGGTGTTGCTGTGTCTGAGTGGGCCGGGGTCAGTATCACCAGCGACATGAGAAATGATCTGAAAGCATCATGAACGAGCATCAGTGTGATATTGCTTACAGCCCTGGAAGCTGCCCGGATGAATCATTGATTTAAGGCTGCATCGGAACAGACTGGTCCATGTAATGAGGACTCACACACACACACACGCACACACACACACACACACACACACACACGCACACACACACACTCATTATTAGTGATGCAGTAATGATCCCTACCTTAATATATAGAGATAGATTATAGTGTATGGTGCTGGTGCTGATATTGGGACCTTTATGAGTCCTGTATCATTTCCATATTGATATATCCTGATTGGTCTTTCAATTGATGTAATGAAACCAAGTTATTATTATTTTTTCAATCGTTCTTTTATGCTTCATGATCATTTACAGTATATGTTATGGAGCGCAAGTAACTACACAAACAAAACAGCAAATCAATACACAATAGGAACAGACAACAAGTAAAACATGTGTTAGTTACTCAAAAAAATTTTTTTGATATATTTTGTCATCGTAAATATAAGGTATAGTAAAACTAATATTTATACTTTTTTATAATTTTAAAACATTTGATTCATAGTTTGTGGCTTCCTGCTACTTAAATAGGCAATAAAAATATGATTTCATTTATACCGGTTATCAGTGTTATCAGTCAGTTATCAGCATCACATTCTGTATATGCCTCTCTTGTGACTACACATGTTCAAAAATTGTATTTGAGACAACAAAATACGTGCAAAAAATATAATTCTAATCCAACAAAAATGTGCTACCATTGATTCTGACACTTGCACTCACAGCGAGAAGGTTGTAGGTTTGATCCCGTGTTGGCCCTGGTCGTTCTGTGCGGAGTTTTCATGTTTCTACCTGTGTCCAGCTGAGTTTCCTTCGGGCGCTCCGGCTTCCCCCAACACCAAAAACATGCACTTGCACAAGAGACTGCACCGTAGAGACCGCTGTTCCTGACATATTGCCGTAGTGTTGATGATGGATGGGTCAAATCAAGTCTTGCCTCACAATTTTTGTGTGTGTGTGTGTGTGCTTTGTGGTGTTGGTGCCCCCGGTGTCTCCTGTTTGTATTCCAATGTAGTGTATTCTGAAAATGGAAATACATTGATTTTGATTCGGAAATGCATAGGACACATTTTTTTATTTCCTTAAAAGTGTCCCACAAATGCAACTTTTTATCTTCTTATATACACAATTTGCAGATTGCATTCTTTCCACAACATTGTATTTATAGAAATGTTGTGTTTAATAATATAATAGTGTGAATCTGGGATAAGCCTGGAGTGTGCTGCTGCGTTACATATTGGCTCCGCCTGATGGCCAGAACCCCATCTGTAGCTCGCACACGTCCTGGGGTATTAGTTGAGCACTTTATTTCCCAGCTCGGTCCTGACCTGCATTTTTCCTCTGCTGGAGCTTTCTTTTACAGCTGATGCACATGGAGTCTATCTACAGAGCTACAGGGGAATGGATTGATTCTCAACAGTATAGTGCCACTAATGACAGGGGATGGACATGGGAAATTGGCAAGATATTTATTTTTAACCGAATGATTTTTTTTTAAGCAGCAAGCTCTTCTATTCTGCTTGAAACTGTGTAATAAAATCCATTTAACTAGTTTCCGGCTGTATCACTTGTTTTTGCATGCACATATTTTGTTGTTATTGTGGCCTTTGGATCAACTTTTTGATAAGGAGCAGTGTTTTTCGACCAGTGTGCATTGGCACGTTGGTGGACCTGGAGATATTGTTTGGTGTACTTGGAAATGTTCCCATATCACCTCATTGGCTAAAATAATGTGGACATAAAATGATCTGAGAAGAAGACTTTTTGCGCTTGTTCGATTTTCTTACTTTAATTGTTAATAAATACTGGCTACTGACTCACCCCCTGCAGGAGGATTAGTGAGGGGCTGGTGCTATGTGTACTGGGTGCAGCTCTGACTGCCACCCCCCCATCCCCCCCCCCGACCCAGAAATGGATTAAGGGGAAGAAAATGGATGGATGTTAATAAAGGCTGAGGAGTTTCATGTTTGTATCATTTCATCTGATATAAACATGAAACTCACTCACAGGCAAAAGCATCAGCACTCACAGGGCTCTTTCTTACAAGTATGCCACAGATAACGGGTCTTCATCTCAGTGGAGACGGGCAAGTTGTTGAACCTCCATTCAGAAAAGTTACATATTTGTACTTTACCATGTTTTGAGTCTTTCTGTAATATTGTGCAGGATTCATTGGACCCTGTTTTGATCTTGTATGTTTAGCTGAGTACCTGCAGTGCTGCGGCTTGCTGAGAAACTGGGATGAGTGTTCTTCCTGACTTGTGCCCTCCTGTCCTGGCCACATGGTTACATAATGTATAACGGCTAAATGTTGTCATTATTATTACACAATCATTGGATTTAGCAGGGTGATATATAGGCCACAGACTCCAGGGAATTTGTATCCGCCCCTAAGTACCACTGCACTTGGTCACCCCATTATCCCCTTTTTATCAGATTATCTCTGTTCTTGAATTAGAGGACACATTGAAATATTGTGCAGTGCAATAGAAAAGTATAAAGAATTTGATAATATTGTTATTGTTGTTTTACATTTTAGATTTTGGTGTAGTTTTTCTTTTCTGAAGGAGAACCCAAAAATGGAGGATGCTCAGAGACAATAACTTTCTCGCTGACTAGAAACACCCCAAAACCCTGGGTCACCTCTTCCTGACAAAATATAGCTGTAATTTAGACTGTTTTATAACCCGTTGCTTACATGTGGGTCAGAGTGAATACAATACAATACAATACAGTTTATTCTTGTATAGCCCTAAATCACAACAGAAGTCATCTCAGAGGACTTAACAAAACCATTGAAATCACCAACACAGATCAGAGAATCAACAGTTAAGACACAAAACAGAGTATAAAACACATGCAAACATTTACAGTAAAAAAATAATAAAATACCAAACATCTAGAAAGTGTTACATTAACAATCACCACAACTGAGATTAGTTCACTTAATTCAGTATAACGTACTATTGTGTACCACTGTTGAAATCTCATAATTTATATTGACATAAACGGATGGAGACATATGACATTCAGAAGACTTTTTGAGAAACTCACCCCAACTTTTATACATGTCCATACATAAGTTAAAGTGTCCTGGATCATCACCACAGTCCTTTTTGTTAGACACTGTCCAACAGACTCCTGCATTGGTAAGGAAAAACTCACAAAAAACCAACTTACCATTGAAGTTTAGGCTTTTGATGCTCTTTTCTTCATAAAGTTGTCCTTGAAATTAATTCCTCGGGCTGTGACTTTAGTTTGAAATTTGGAACTTTATTTTGGCGCTTTTATTTAACACATTCCTGTCCTCTTTGCGGTGAAAAGTCGCCTGACAGCCACTTTTGTCCTAGGTCGACACATCCTTAGACCAGTCACTGATGGTCTAATTTGTCATGAGGAAACAATTTTGTGATGTCCTTTAAGAGGATTTTGATATTGAGGATCAGAATAAGAATCAGAATTATTGTTATGACTTTTTAAGTAACAGGAAGTCACCTCTTGGAACTGGCTGATTTGGCTCAAGATGCAAACCAGTTCTAAGAGTAAAAATAGTCAAAGATACAAATATACATTTCTATATAGAAATCTATAACCAGGTCTTCTTCCTACAGTATTTTATTTCTGATTATTTCTGTGCAGCACTTAGAATACATAATTTTTTTGCCATAGTTAAATATCCACTTCACATTTAATTCATCTAAACATTTGAAAGCAGTTCCACATCAAACTGCAAGTGTTCTTGTCATGATTAATGCAGCACGGAGGCAGGCCAGCCAACTGTCACTGCACAATCTCAACTTCTATCCCTCTGTTGTGTTTATTTTGGGAAATGTTTCCAAATGTGTTACAAAGACTTCCTGAGGCTCTGTCCTGTGTCATTAATTATGCATTGCTAGTAGTAATATCCCAGCCACCAAAACAGTGCATTTTCTAGTTTCTAGCTTTTTGTCTGAAACCATTTAAATAATCAGACTTTATGGAATGGGGCAGTAAATCTGGAATCTCAGCACTTCACAAGACTTCTTATGAATTCACCGAAATGCTTTATATAGAATCATTGAATAACAGGTTCAAACTCGAGCTGGTCTGTCTGGATTTGTTTTGGATGACTCACAAGGTTATCTGGCTGAAAAGTGGCTTGCATTCAGAGCACCTGTGTGGGATTTTGTCAAAATAACGGATAAAATACTGAAAAATCTAAAACAATTTCTACTTCCAAATATCCACCCTGTGTGCGAAGACTGTTTGCAAGCAGTGTCTTTGCTTGTATAGTTATGTTGCCAGGGATTTAATGAATTATGCCACCAAAACAACAACCAGGCCGGAACGACAGGCTTACGCTTTGGCAGGCTGTAGTTTTCTGACACCTCGCCAAAACTGTAAAGGGCATTTATTACTAGATTTATAGCTGCCATTGTCACTAAACATGTGAGCGGTTTGATGACTGCCAGTCTAAATTTAAAATCTCTTTCTTCAACTATATTGTATGAAACATATGTTTCAGAGGGAACCCTCAGATTTATATCAATTATGAGTCTTGACATGTATTAATTAATCAAATACATCAGATGTTTTGTCATGGTTTTTGATAATATTTTACTAATGAGAATTTTGCTAAATGTGTTGTTTGTTTTCAGAGTGTGCCCATCTCCTGCTGGCCCACAATGCCCCAGTGAAGGTGAAGAATGCTCAGGGCTGGAGCCCCCTGGCTGAGGCCATCAGTTATGGAGACCGACAGATGAGTGAGTTTAGTGGCTCTGTTTTTGTGCTCAATGGAGCGGGCATTCGCTCGTATGCCAACACGTCCACTGCACACACCCACATTGGCCTAAATGATTTTAAACAAGCAATGTGACGCTAATGCTAGTACGTGTGTGAAAACTATGACGAGGGGAAAAAGACCAAAACAACAGTTGCAATAACACATGTCTGTGGCCCGCATTGTTCCAGGCTGATGCCTCCTCCAACGGCCCTGTCGTGGGCTGGGCTCCTCTGTGCTGCTGAGGGAGACATTCCTGAAGGCCATGAGGCCTTTGTGCTCTCATGAAAAGCTTAAATTCATCGGCCGTTTCTTTAGCTCCCCATTGGCTGACCAGGCTCAAGCCCCTGCCGCACCCCTCTGCTCATTTGGATGCTTGGGGCTTTTTCCCTCCTCTTTGTTTTTCAAGTTAAAGTCTTAATCGTTCATGTGTTTGTAGCTGAAAAACAATTATGTGTCAATTATGTGATAACTGAAACAGGGCAACGGAAATGAGCTGTAATATTTATCTGCTCGAATCACACAATTATGTATGTTTTATGTACTGTATGTATGTTTTACACATTGTATGTTGTTTTCAAGCAAGTCAGAGATTAAATGTATCTGAATTGTTTCACAAACCTTAATACTTGTAGTAGACACTGTTGTTCAATTGTGTGACTGTACAAGCTAATCATGGAGTGCCGTTTTTTATACAGTTAGTATTAAATAACAGGTCTGCAAACTGAGAGCAGTCTGCTTTGGCTGCATGGGCTGAGTCAGCTTTTGCCAGGAAACGGTAATGATACACTTTGTTTTACAGAGGGGCAAAAGTCTGACTGTCCTGACTTCAAGAACTATAATAGTCTGGGGTTTAATCCAAACTTTTGAAATGCATCTTTTATCTGGATTTACTTTATCCAGATCATTTTGAACAATTACCTTTTTGTGTTCAGACGAAGCCATTTGTGTCGTGACATGTTATTGTTGACACATTGTGGAGTTGACTAAGAAGCAGCAGCCGTGGCTTTAGCTGTGTCGTTATGTGGGTGGCAGACAATCACTAATGATCTCGGTAACAAAGTGTGGCAACCCTTGGGCGTACTCTGATAAATATACATTCGCTTTTTATAAAAAAAAAAAAAAAGCAAATTTCACACAGCAGCAGCGTTACATCATATCCCTATCCCCTATTTCTATCACGGTTGAAAAAATTTGTGTTGGAAATAGTGCCATAATGATTAAATAATTTACTATTTTAATTTCTTTAGAGGCTCAAACAATGTGATTTTTAGGTTCAAACAGAACAACGGTTACTAAAAGGGAATAAAACAAGAAATGCTTAGAGCCGGTTTCACTTAAACCTTTCTGGCATCAAAATGAGATTAAAATCACATATCCTCATTCTAAAGCTTAAAGCCGCAGAGAATGTTCATGTTTTTAAGAGCAGGCTCGAGACACACCATTTTTTGTTCAGTATTTTTTATTTTTACAATATTTTGTTTATTTATTTATTGTAATTGTATTTGTTATATTGCATATTTATTTAATATTTATTTGTATATTATTGAACATTTTATTATTTTAATTATTTTTGTTTTAATGCCCCCTGTAGAGCTTCTCAATATATCAGAAAAATAATGATATTTCAAAAATGGCAAGATTGATATAGCAAATGTGTGCAATATTTGTATGCATAAATAATGTGCTTTTTTTAAAAAATATATATATAAACGTTTCCATTTGTTGCAAGACAGAGTATTATAACTGGAAGATCCAAGGCCAACAAAGAGATAATGAGATAAGAGAAAATTCACTGAGAGCAGCAACAACTAAAAACACTGCATTACCAAAAGGAAAGGAAATTATTGCAATATATTGTGATCGCAGTCTTACACCAATATCTATTTTTTTCCAACATTGAGAAGCTCTACCTCCAAGTATAATTGCCCTTTCTGTTTTGTGTTCCCTTGGTAGATTACCCAAGGGGACTTTGAGGTGACTTTGGGGTTGTTTTGCTGGTGGTGCGGGTGTGTTTACTCGGTGACCCTGTTACTGCCCGCCTGCAGCACGCATTGGGGGACACCACGCCTTAATCACTTCAACCCTAATTTGTCTCTGTCTCTGTGTGTGTGGGCACAAGTGACCTGACCCAGATTTAGAAAGAGGCCTCAGTCCTCTTCCAAAGCTGTACCTTCAAAAACATTTGGATTATGTAGTAGTTACAGTATAAATACATTTAACAAGCCTGGTCCCAGTTCATGTCCTGGTGTCAATTTGATCCAGGGCCAACTATCCCATAAGACATGCAATTGGTGATGAATATGAAATGCAAATGGAGGAGGGGGTGCATCTTTTCACATTTGTATTAGAAATTCCCATAGAAACCAGCCACTTAATGAGAAACTTCACTTCTAATGTCCAAAGCAGTACTTTTATGCTCATGAATTACCACAGCTCATACTGTTCAGACTTATCTTGAAGTTATTGTACCACTTCGACATCACACTGAGCAGTTTTTTGTCTTTTGAATTTGGTTAATACAAGTTTAATTTTGTTCTTTGTGTCACAAAAAACCCTAAAACATGTTCATCTTCTCCCTCTGGTGGTAGCATACTTCATATTGTCTACTGCAGGTATTATTTCACATTCTAAAACACAAAATGAAGAGTTTCATTGTTATGATTTGTGGTACAAAATAATGAGTATTATTTCTCCTTTATCATAAACATCATGACCGCAAAAACCATGAAGATGTTTAGGTCATTGAACACATCTGCGAGATCTAAATGCTTAAATGGGAATGTATTGAATATTGTCTAGATTCACCAGTGACTTCTTAGAGGGCACTATCACCGCTCATGAACCATACATTTCTATCACACTGGGTGGTCACACTGTTATGATCATAGCTGGTCTGGAACATGATTGATGCGGACACCAAAGGGTGAACCCCATGTGTTGGTAAAACTAAGACAGTTGTGTCATTGCTACTGTGAAACTTGGGTTTTTTTTTCCCCCTTATTGCTGCCAAATAATTTCACTAACATCTACAAACTAAATCCACATTTTAGAAACAAAATCAAAGTGCGTCACGTAAGAAAATAGTTAAATACAGAAAACAAATCAAATCAAATTCAAAGCTGAACAATAAATAAAAAAATCATTGATCAGGGTATAGCATCTGGGTGGTATCTCTGGCCACTCCCCCCCACCCCCACCCACAACCCAGAAATTGATTAAGGGGTTGAAAATGGATGGATGGATAGATCAGGGTAAAAAAAAAACTATTACAAATGCAAAAAAAGCTAAAACTATCACTCAAGACTTGATACATCTCTTTGTGTGTACGTTTCTCCTTTGGTCTCTGTAAAAACGTGCTATATAAATAAAGAGTACTGAAAGCAAAGGAAGGTTTCTCCCCCATCATCTGTATCATCTGTACTTCTAGCAGGTTTTCCCAGGTTTACTTACTTTCTAATATTAGAAGTGCTGAGGTTCCAGTTAGCGATGTTTCTCTGTAAAAGCAGACTCTGTTGCATTGATGACGCAGCTCAGAGCACACTCTTATCACTTCCTATTTAAACAAAGGCACTTTTCCCACACGGCCACAAGGTCATCTCTAATGCAGCCGTTTGAATGTGCTTTTAATCTCCAGCTCTTTCTCCTCTTCTCTTTAGTCACGGCGCTGCTGAGGAAGCTGAAGCAGCAGTCCAGGGAGAGTGTGGAGGACAAACGGCCCAAGCTGCTCAATGCACTTAAAGAAGTATGCTTTTAAGTTAACCACCACTCCTAATGCCTTAAGCTTTTACCAACAGCATGTTATGTTCACTTGAGTATCGGACAAAACTGACAAAGCAAAATGTTGAGAGATGTGCATGTGTATTTGATCCCGAAGAGACATTTGAGCAGTTCTGTATGAGAGCTTTGAACCACAGATTCACCTAAGATTTAGAGATGGCCACTTGTTTTGTGGCATCATAGATTAGTGCAACCAACTCTACCATTTTAAAAAGGAAGCAGAAGGTGATACATTGTTCATATTTGTCACTTTCAAGACCTGTTTCCTCAGCTGTAAACTGCTCTTAGAATAGTTCTCAGCAAATAATTTGTTTTGGTTTTCAGCCATTTTACATACTCACCAGGAACTTAAGAAAAGATTGCATTAAAACTTCCCAGTAAAAGATTATTGAGTGCTCTCTGGTACTTACTGTTGAAGCTTTGTGAGTGCAGTCATCAGTGGCTTCTTATTCACACTTTAGTTCAATTATTTATTTTAGACCTTCTCTTCAGGACTGCAGATGCTGCTGTTTGCACTTCCATGAATAGTTATAAGTGGCATTTTATTAATGAGACCATTCATTGTTTATTGTTGCGCACATTAGAGAAGCATATTTGTAGTTTAACAATGATGAGGGAAAAGGGAAAAACATTTTGTAATTGTTCTTGTGTTGAACCCTTATGTATTTTTTCAATTAAAACCGTCTGTATTATATTTAACACCTTATTCTATTGCCATCTATTCCAGCTTGGAGACTTTTATTTGGAGCTCCATTGGGACTTTCAAAGTTGGGGTGAGTTTCTCAAAAAGTCTTCTGAATGTCATATGTCTTATCTGTCTGCATCCGTTTGTGTCAAATTATAAATTATGAGATTTAAACAGTGGTACACAACAGTACGTTATACTGAATTAAGTGAACTAATCTCAGTTGTGGCGATTGTTAATGTAACACTTTCTAGATGGTTACTCAAAAAAACATTTTTGTAAATGTTTGCAAAACTCATCTCACCAAAACAGAACTTGGTGAGGTGATTATTATTATTATTACTACCAAACCGGTCTGACAAGTTTTGCCTCGGCCAGCAAAGAAGCCACCCAAGGCTTCAGACCTTTGGACAGTTTCAACAGCGTTTCATAACTTTCCCATATTTTGTTGTGTTGCACAAGTATTCATACAGCATGAGATAATACTTTGTGGAACCCCCTTTTTCTGCATTAACAGCATCAAGTCTTTTGGGGTATGACTGTAAAAGATTAGATTAGATCTAGAAAAGGAATGTTTAGCCCCTTTTCTCTTTAAAAAAACAAGTCATGCTCAGTTAGATGGAGAGAGTTTGTGAACAGCAGTTTTCAGGTCGGCACAGGTGATAGCTCAAGGGGTCCTTGCGGTGGTCATGTGACATCAGGTGGGGGCCACCGCAAGCGCACATGTGTGTACACAGGCATTGTAGGTTCCATTTTGGGCTCTTCATGTTTCACAGTCCATCCTATGCACATGTCTGATAATTTTAGTGATACACTAAAGTGATTTTGTGTAAACGTCACATTATTCAAAATCCAATATCTGTAAAACAGAAAATCATGAATAATGTAATCTCCATTTTATTCCTCCATACTCTGCTGCAGTCGCTCCGACGCATCCTGCACACAAATACAAAAACCCAAGGCCACATCCAAATCTTATTCCACGTAATCCTGGATCTTTCACGACCAGCACCAACAAACTTCACTGCAGGGCAGGGTTTCCTCACGGTAGTGCTCTCTCTGACCATGGTCGCCTCCGCTTCAGGTCCTCTTCAGTGGTGCAGGGGCCGAGGCGCCGTTACCGTCACCTTCACCTTCATGGGCCGCCCGGACGTCTGGTCCCATTTCCCAGTTCTCCCATGGGTGAGGGGGGCGCAAATATCAATTCATTTTGGGGCCACCAAAGCTGAAAACCCTAAAATTGAATGTTGCAAACCAAAAAAATGAAAACCGAGGCCTTTCACCCCTGAACCAAGTTTTAAATGTAACAATTTATAGGAAGGGGGTTATTAAAATTCTTGTTTCAACAATTGAAATAAGATAAAGCCCCTGAGTTTGTTTAATAATAGAATTAATTGAAGGCACTCGGAACTGAGAATAAACTTTTTCCAACAATGGGCGGCCGTGGCTCAGTTGGTGGAGCAATAGCCTTTGAGCCTGAAGATTGTGGGTTCTAGGCCACCACGGAACCTTCTCCACAAACTCCCACTGATCTCTACTGGTGTTGTGTCCTAGGGCAAGACACTTAACCTCACTTTGCCTGAAGCTCCCGCTGAAAAATCAAGGCTCCTGCGGACTCAGCACCTGTAGGAGGATCAGTGAGGGGCTGGTGCTCTGTGAACCCCCCAGAAATGGATTAATGGGAAGAAGATGGGTGGATGGATGGCAATTATTTAGTTCACAGAAGTATACGGCGAGTTATTTGCACTGTACTTACAGATTGAGGCTTTGTGTTAGCGTCTTTTATCGTGGGAATAACGCTGGTTTAACCCTAACCCTATCAGCTTTTGAATGACTCAAGATTCAAGATAACCGTAGTTCTCGAACAGTCTTAGTGAAGTGTCGCAGATGAACAGATTCGTCAGAGACTGATACCTGTGAAAAAAGTCAAGCCACATTCTTCCTCTAAGACATAGGGTCAAATAGTGTGTCAGATAATTCCACCCAAAACACATTTTCTCCAAGTTGGCATGATCTTAACACTTTTAGTCACTGACAAAAGCAGAAAAACAGTATAGCTCCATGCGGTGTCCGCAGCACCAAACCACACTCATACGCTGGACTCGGGAGCTGGACTCGGGAGCTGTCTGGGTGCCGTGATTTGCTGTTTTTATTTGTCAATCACCCCCTAGATTTTATTATTATTATTATTGACAACAAACAGCAAACAGCATGTCTCTGGGCATGTGTATGAAGCAGTGGGGGGCGGGTCCTAGCTCAAAAGTGGCCAAAATGACGTGCACTGACATGCTTGCAATACCACCCCGGCCGATGGGGGTGGACCCAGAAGAAGAATTAGCCAATGCTAACATATAGCATTGGTAGACCTCTCGAAAACGTCTTTACAGGATGGACCAAAAGTTGGCTCTTGGCCCAAAGCTCCGTTCCACATGTGTGTCAATGCTGAGGGGGGTGGATTTTTTTGGACCACTCTAGTTTACTCGCTGTGAATTTTTGAAGTCTCTCGTTCAAATGAATGGAGCTGCGCCGGCTGACGCATGCGCAGATGCGTTTTTCCACAATTTTCTTGAGGGCGGGACCACTCGCGGCCATTTTGGATTGCTCCAGTAGAGCACATTTTCTGGCCCATTAGTTTGAACGGCGGAGATAGGCGTGACTCTGTCCGTTAATATTTACAGTCTATGGTATGAAGGCCAAAGCTTAATATGGCATCTTTAAGTTCGAGTATTGCATCTCTGCATGATGTCTCATATCAGCCCAACAGCATCAGAATCGGCGTGCACCAGGCCCTTGGGATAGACCTGTTTTTCGCAATTGCCACGCACTGGTTTACATGAGTCTCTAACAATCTAACTAAATTGGCGTAGGGGGAGGATTCGGTTTCCAGTAGTGCTTTGTGAACGCACTCATTGTCTGAGCCTTTTTTGTTAGTTGAGTCCACGCTGTGACTAGTAATGTTCAGCCGTTGACATGGGTATATGTGCATATATGAGTATACTGTTCAACTGCTTTTGCTAGTTTTGTTATTTTAGTTCTGGTTTAATCTGACTGTAGTCTATGCGATTATTATGGGGGCAAAAAAATCATGTCATGTTTTCCTTAAGACCAGCTTAAACTCCTTGTGATGCTCCACTGGGGTGACTTCAATTAAGCCTCTCAACTAAACCACTTTGAACTGTTATATCAGGTTTGGCTCATTGGCCAGTGACATCTTAGAGTCAGTGTTGGCTTTGGGGCTTATAAAATATTCAATACAGTGTGTGCATAATCAGGCCCTGTATACATGTATACATTGTTAAAGCGGTGGCTCGACCTCATTACTGGGTACGAGTGATTGCTAAATGTAGGTTTGTGACTTGTGTTTTATCCTTTCTCTCTATTTATATCTCAGTCCCTTTACTCTCCCGGATACTGCCATCAGACGCATGCAAGATCTACAAGCAAGGCATCAACATCAGGTATGGGCCTATACAGTATGTGAAGAAATACTTTATTGGGTCATGTTTTCTGAGTGAAATTGAAATTGAATTGATTGAAAAGGCCCAAATTCTGCAATCCAATACATTATGACTCATGAAGAGGTGTGAGAAGAATTTATTAACAATATATTTTTTGAGCATATTTACATCATGTCATGTATTGTAATTGTTTTAACTTTTTAAGCATTTAATTTGCAAATTTTCTTAAGCTTGAGTACTGCAATATTTAATTAAATAATTATTCTTTTAACTTTCATGTTGTCTGAGTTTAATTTGCTTTTGCGTATTACATCCACAAGTTTGTCTCTGTGCTTGTTTTTTGTGCATTCATTCAACAAAAAGTCTATTGTATTTGAATGATTTAAGTGATATGCTAATGCTGGGAGCTCACCGTTCATGTGAGAGATCACCTTCAGAGAATAAGTATTTCTTGTCCTGTGTCCTGAAGTGTTTGCGCCTCAGTTCATGTGCAGACCATAATAAAGTTGAGTAGAGTCTTATTTTCCTCAATTTTCGTAAAGGCTTTAAATGAAATAAGGGACATTAATCACAACATATTGCACAATCAAATCACAATACTTACTGTATCGTTATATGTTAAGAATCACAATAATATTGAATTGCGCCCAAAATATCGCAATATTATCAAATGGTCACATTTCTGCCAATTCTTACCCCATATTAACTTGTTTTTCTTTCATAAATACATTGTGTTTGTTCCAACAGAACATCTTGTTTAAGAAACATGTGAACAAATCAGAACACAGCGTGCCGTCTTTATCACATTTTATTTTTTCCACACAAAAAGTTGAAACCTGAAAAAGATCTAAGAATGTGAGAGGCTAACAATAAATGTCTGTGGAGTGATACAACCTAACGGAGAATTAGAAGTTACATGGATAGTTAATTTCGTTGTAGTTTCAAAGTTAGATAGTCCAGCTTTAATTAGTGTTTTTGAGAAGAAAAAACATGTTTGCATTTGTGCACCTCCCATCCACATCTGAACTCAGACCGTCCACCTTCAGATCGCTGCACCGACGGAGAACATTCTTTTGCAATACTTGACTGCACTGTTTGTGTTGTTCTGAAATGCTGTGATTGTCTCAGAGTCATTCTCTCATGTTTGTGTTTCTCTCTGTGCTTCCAGACTGGATACAACCCTCATAGACTTTAGTGACATGAAGTGCCAACGCGGGGACCTCAGCTTCATCTTCAACGGCAACGCCATCCCCTCAGAGTCTTTTGTTGTTTTAGACAATGAGCAAAAGGTTTACCAGCGAATACACCATGAGGTTTGTGTTTTTGGAAAAAAAAATGGGTACTCAGTTCTCCTCAGCTTTTTCTGCCTGAAAGTCAAAATACTTGCGTGCTTTTTCTAATAATCCATGTTACAGCATAAAACTTGGTCTAGCATAGTTGTCAGGAGTTTTAGATTTTAAATACACTGCATAAAGTGTGTATAGTATGTATGGCTCCTTATAGACCAATACAGATGTGTATTTTGTATCTTTGTGTCTTCACTGTTGATTCTTTGATCTGTGTTGGTGATTTCAATGGTGTTTTTGCTGTTGTGATTTAGGGCTATACAAGAATAAATAGTATTGTAATAATTGTTGTATTGTACCGTGTGGTTGTGCTGGAGGTGGCTCTGGAGATTGTCGTGTTTCCCTCCAACGTAGCAACTATTATTCCCCATGACTTGCAAATAACTTGTTTCTGTGATTGGTCCAGTCTTGTAAATCCAAAGTAGACACAAATTCCGGAGGTAAAGTGTCTTTTGGGGTTGCGTTTCAAGAAATGCAAGAAAATCTTGCATCGCATTTTTTAGATATGGATATTGCACGTACCAATATCGCAATGACGATGTCTTTTTGATACATCGTGCAGCCCTAGTTTCACATTTTAAGTTGACAGAAGTAAATAAACGTTATTCTAACCTGAGCTTTAGGTTAGAATAACGTTAAAAACAGTTTAACGGTGTGTGTTTATAAACCTAGTACCATAAATATAGTTATTAGGTCTGTAGCAAGTTGATTGAATTCTTGTAACTGCAGATTATTGAAATTGAATTAGTAATTTAGTAACTGAGTAATATTTTTTTTGAACCTTAAACATCTTGATAAGGGGTTTAATGACTTTGATGATTCTATAATGACTGCAAAATTGAATAAGAATGTGTGGTATTTTTAATGAATGAACCCATGTGTAACAAGTGGTTCTCCAGGTGCATTGTTTTGCTCACATGCATAAGAAATCCCATTTTCTTTTGAGATATTGGATTGAACAACTAAACAACTAATCTTGAATTCCAGCTCTATTAGTCCTTGACTGGAACTTCCTCCACAAACAAGCTCTCTACTACTTAATAAACCAAAATGCAACTATCTAACATCTAATTGAATATACCGCACAGGACGTTAACTTGATTGAATCGCGTGTGTTTCCAGGAGTCCGAAATGGAGACCGAGGAGGAAGTGGACATCTTGATGAGTAGTGACGTTTACTCGGCCACATTATCGACCAAGTCCATCACGTTCTCCAGAGCGCAGAGCGGCTGGCTCTTTAGAGAGGACAAGACGGTACGTTTGAGCCCATAATGACAAAATATTCAACTTTCTCTGTCTGGGTCACATGGGGGAGATTTCCGGAATCTTAAGCCTCAGACAGAAAGGTAAGGAATGTGCCTTTTTTTTCTTTTGATGAAAAATGAAACAAATGTGATCTCCCAGATGTGGATTGTACACTTCCACTGTGTAAAACGCACTACTTTGTTCCTCTCGAGCAATGTTTTAATGTATAAGCAATAGGATGCTATGATTAATCAAAAAATAATCCAAATAGCAATTTTAGTGGCTGCTGTTAGAAAATCACAAAGACGGCAATGATTTAGATTACGTCGTTTCTTTAACAAACAGTTAATTACCTTTTTGCATCTGACTCTGTTTGTGTTTACAGCCCTAAAACAGGCTTAGAACTACAAGGATTGCTGCAAATGTCAATATTAGGTTAAAAAGAGCTATAAGGTAGTATTTTCGGTGAGAATTTGTCATTTAATTTCAACCGAGAAAACTTTGTCAATTATGCATGTATGTAAATGTATTTGTAATATGAGATGTATTGTCATGTCCACAATTGAAATATATAAATAAAGATAGAAAAGTAGTGGGTTTTTTCAGTTTTCCCTCAAATTTGAATTCTAATAGTGCATTTTGAATCTAAACTTCATAACGGCAAGGGAAATAAGTAATCAAAATAGTTATCCAAAAATATCACAATTTGATATTGCTTTAAAATCGTGCAGCCCTGATATGCAACTGATAAAATATGAAAATCTGGATCAGGCAAGTTCAATAGGAATATCATTTGCGAAAAGACTGATTATTAAAATAGACTAATTTTTTATATTATTTCTTCATTGTTATAGGAGCGCATTGGGAACTTTTTGGCCGATTTCTACTCCGTGAACGGGTTGGTGCTAGAGTCCCGCAAGAGACGAGAGCATCTGAGTGAGGAGGACATCCTGAGGAACAAAGCCATCATGGAGAGTCTGAGCAAAGGAGGAAACCTCATAGAGCAGAACTTTGAGGTATACTGCGTCCTGGATTTGTAATTTCACACAGAGCTCCACCATTATGGAAACAGTATAATCAATGTTGGCTTATAATTATTTTTTACAATGAGGACATATATCCCAATTAACAGCTTAGATGTGGATGGAATTTTCCTCATGAATACAAAAATAAAGTGAGGTTGTCCAGCTTTAATAATCATCTTGTGAGCAGTGACCACAAGACCTATATAATATCTGTTAATGAAACAAAAAAGGCAAGTTATAGGTATTTTAAAGATGATAAACCAGTAAGGCGAAGAAGAATCCAGACCGTTCAGTGTTGTCACACTGTCATTTCTCCACTGTGAGACGAATAAAGGAATATCTGATCTTATCTTATCTTAAGGAGCCGTTTTAAATAAGATGTGACGAGGATGATACCAGTCCAAATGATGAAAGTGCACCACAAACATTACGTTCACTACACACAACATTTACGTCACATAATTACATACCTAGTGGCAGCATGGCACGGCAAAACATTTCAATCTCTATAGTAACCCCCTCGGGACGAATTCAATTTTAACCAAAGTCAGAAAACTGTTACATGAAAAGAGCTCAATATTCCTATTCCAACCCATTTAATACACCTTTATGAATTACTTTAACGTCACTTTCAACATAAATATGCTAGAAGAATTAGCATTGTACTAAGTTGAAAGGCAGGGACAGAAAAAACACACAGTAAGGGAATGGACAAACAGTAACACAACAGGAACAAACTATTTAAAAAATAGATTTAATAAAAAAGGAACATGGAACTATAGGAACATGGCATTTTAAAGGACCCTTTTAATTCTTTGATCGGTCCCACAGTTTGGCTCCATTTGTACATATAAAATCCATTAATGATGGAGGAGCAAGTCCATTTATAACTTTTAAAATTATACAAGGCGAGCATCCAGAAACTTCTGATAGCTCTCAGAATGTAAAATTTTAGTCTTGCTAGGGATGCACTGATATCGGGTATGGAGACGATACCATAGGCTTGTACTCGTTCTCATTCAATAGGACCCAATACCCAGCCGATACCCACATTTTTAATTCACATTAGCGTCACGACAGCTGTGTGTTGCCATGGTGATCTCCCATAGTCTGCAGCAAGAAAGCGCTTGTAGCTTAACAGCAGCGTAGCCTAGCGGCAAGCGGATGGCGTGAGTGACAAGAATAAAGTGGACGGTACATTTTATAATATTGTCCCAAGGTGGGTCCAAACAAACACAAAAAACACCAGCAACTTGATCAAACATCTGAAAACTCACCACCACACGGAGTAAAGCGCGAGAGGGCAACAACAACCAACTCTACACTTGCATTTGTATGAGTGGAGTATGACAGTGGCTCTTATTGTTGACTGTTCAAACAGTTGCTAAAATGTTTAAATGTTAAAGCATTTTTTATTGTTGAAATGAGAAATAAAACATTTTAAATTTTAGTTGTATTAGTTTTATGAACTCCCCCCTGGACTGCCACCTTAACGTGGTGGGGGAGTTTGAGTACTCGGATAATCCTGGGAGCTATGCTGTCTGGGGCTTCATGCCCCTGGTAGGGTCTCCCATGGCAGACAGGTCTCAGGTGACGAGTCAGACAAAGAGCAGTCCAGAAGACACCATGGACAGCACTATTACGAGATCAGTGACGTCGCCCGGCATGGCGCAGCTGGGGCCCCACCCTGGAGCCAGGCCTGGGGTCGGGGCTCGTATGCGAGCGCCTGGTGGCCGGGCCTTAGCCCACGGGGCCCGGCCGGGCTCAGCCGGGCTCAGCCCGAATGGACGACGTGGGCAGTCCCTCCTGTGGGCCCACCACCCGCAGAGGGGTCCGTGGTGGCGAAGCTGTGCAGAGAGGACTGGGCAGCGGTCGAAGGCGGAGACCTCGGCGACCCAGTCCGCACACACAACATCTGGCTCTTGGGACGTGGAACGTCACCTCACTGGGGGGGAAGGAGCCCGAGCTTGTGGGGGAGGTTGAGCGATACCGACTAGAGATAGTCGGCCTCACCTCCACACACAGCTTGGGCTCTGGAACCCAACTCCTTGAGAGGGGTTGGACGCTCCACTTTTCTGGTGTTTCCCGCAGGGAGAGGCGGCGAGCTGGGGTGGCCATTCTCATTGCCCCCCATCTCAGCCGCCACGTGTTGGAGTTCTCCCCGGTGAATGAGAGGGTCGCGTCCCTCCGCCTCCGGGTGGGGGACAAGTCTCTCATTGTTGTGACGGCCTACGGGCCTAACAGCAGTGCAGAGTACCCGGCCTTCTTGGAGTCCCTGGGAGGGGTACTGGACGGTGCACCGCCCGGGGACTCCGTTATTCTCCTGGGGGACTTCAACGCCCATGTGGGAAATGCCAGTGACACTTGGAGAGGGGTGATTGGGAAGAACGGTCCCCCTGATCTGAACCCGAGCGGTGTTCAGTTGTTGGACTTCTGTGCCAGTCACAGTTTGTCCATCACGAACACCATGTTCGATCACAAGGGTGTCCACCAGTGGACGTGGCACCAGGACACCCTAGGCCGGAGGTCGATGATCGACTTTGTTGTCGTATCATCTGACCTTCGACCGCGTGTCTCGGACACTCGGGTGAAGAGAGGGGCGGAGCTGTCAACCGATCATCACCTGGTCGTGAGTTGGATCCGCTGGCAGGGGAAGAAGCCGGTCAGACCTGGCAGACCCAAGCGTATAGTGAGGGTCTGCTGGGAACGTCTCGCTGAGCCCCCTGTCAGACGGACTTTCAACTCACACCTCCGGGAGAGTTTCTCCCAGGTCCCGGCGGAGGAGGGGGACATGGAGTCCGAGTGGACCATGTTCTCTGCCTCAATCGCCGATGCGGCGGCTCGTAGCTGTGGTCGCAAGGTCTCTGGTGCTGGTCCCGGCGGCAACCCCCGAACCCGGTGGTGGACACCGGCAGTAAGGGATGCTGTCAGGCTGAAGAAGGAGTCCTATCGAGCCATGATGGTTCGGGGGACTCCTGAGGCAGCTGTCCAGTACCGGCAGGCCAAGCGTGCCGCGGCCCGGGCTGTTGCAGAGGCAAAAACCCGGGACTGGGAGGAGTTCGGAGAGTCCATGGAGCATGACTATCGGTCGGCCTCGAAGAGATTCTGGCAAACCATCCGGCGCCTCAGGAGGGGGAAGCAGTTCTTTGCCAACACCATGTACGGTGCGGGTGGAGAGCTGCTGACCTCGACTGGGGATATTGTCGGGCGGTGGAAGGAATACTTTGAGGTTCTCCTCAATCCCCCCGTCACGTCCTCTGTTCCAGAGGCAGAGGCTGAGGATGTTGGGGCGGATACATCCATCTCCCTGGCTGAGGTCACCAAGGTGGTTGGTAGCCTCCATGGTGGCAAGGCTCCGGGTGTGGATGAGATCCGCCCTGATTATCTAAAGCAGGGGTGCCCAAACCTTTTGCTTCCAAGGGCCAAAGTAAAAATTTGCCAGTCGGCCGCGGGCCAAATACACCGATATTACGCATGAGACACAAATAAATGTAGATTTGATCAAGTTCAATTAAATGCATTAATTATTGTCTATCAGTGCAAATCACAGCTGAATGAATGAAATCAACACAGTCTTAGTGAAATGGAGACTCCAGGGAAATATGCAGGTTTGAGGAGACTACAGTACGGAAAGATTAATTTAAATAATCTATATTTTTAACCTGCTCATGTCAGTAAACTGTTTGTTGAAGACCTTTTTCTAAACAGTTATATAGTACAGTGATTTATAATGTATAGGTTTATTGTACTAGCAAATGACATTTACTTTACAAAAGTAAAGTCTATTTTCATATATTTATTTTGAACAAAAGTTTTTAACTACATTTGAATCATATTACCTTATCTTAGCTGATCACTGATCAATAGATCTGGTTTTAGCACACTTTTAAACAATACATTTAAACATTAAGTAATGAATTTGGGAACATAATTGCTAACTGCATTTTCTAAACATGATCAGGTTTTAACTCTGTTTTAACTTAATATTTTTAACATAGGGCAAGGATTCTCAATTAGTAGTGAAATGAATATTAAACTAACGAAATCAGACTAGTTAACCATGATTTGTTCCTAGAGTTTGTTTTGTTTTGCCTAAACACAGTACAACATTTATAAACAATCAAAACAAAGTAACTGTTAAAGAGTCCGTGTTTCCAATCCACCAAAGGGCTCTTGAACGCATCATAAAACTCCGCGTAAGTTCTGACATTCAATGATTGCGAGTGAGGACGGCGCTTACCGGCTTCTTTCATGGGGTTGTAGAAGGGTTTGTTTTGCACAGTATTTGTTGCTTCTACTTGCTTGGATTGTGCGCTGCGATCCCTGCTTGTCCTGATTGAACTCAAGTTCACAACTCTGAAGTGTGTGTGTCCGTCTTTTTTAACACACCGGGTGGGTGCGGATTGCGCAGGTGAATAGTTCCACTCGCCATTTACCTCCGGTGAGGAGGGGGAGTGGCAGTTCGCCAGCACAATCCTCTCAATTTGATAAAACATTAAATTGCTCAAAAAAATTATAATAGTAGGCTGAAAAAAAAGAACATAAAGGGGCCTTGCACCCAATTGTTTTGAAAGATGTGTTTGATTTTAAAAAACATTTTAGTGCAAGTAGATGTGAACCATGAGTGAGGAGTGTATCTCGATACAACAGTAAAGTACTGGACAGTCTGCATTCAGAGGGCGTTGGTGTACCCGTGCAATCTCAGACATGTTACTGTTTGTTCAGTGAGGTTGAAAGACACAGACAGAATCTTACAATGTTTGGCGGGCCAACTGAAATGGTCCGGCGGGCCAACTTTGGCCCGCGGGCCCCACTTTGGGCACCCCTGATCTAAAGTCTCTGGATGTTGTAGGACTGTCTTGGCTGACACGTCTCTGCAACATCGCGTGGCGATCGGGGGCAGTGCCAATGGAGTGGCAGACCGGGGTGGTGGTCCCTCTCTACAAGAAGGGGGACCGGAGGGTGTGTTCCAATTATCGTGGGATCACACTCCTCAGCCTCCCCGGTAAGGTCTACTCCAAGGTACTGGAGAGGAGGTTACGGCCGATGGTCGAATCTCGGATTCAGGAGGAGCAGTGTGGTTTTCGTCCCGGTCGCGGAACACTGGACCAGCTCTATACTCTCCATCGGATACTCGAGGGTTCATGGGAGTTCGCCCAACCTGTCCACATGTGCTTTGTGGATTTGGAGAAGGCGTTTGACTGTGTTCCCCGGGGTGTCCTTTGGGGGGTTCTCCGGGAGTACCGGGTCGGGGGTCCTCTGCTGAGGGCCATCCGATCCCTGTATGACCGGAGCCAGAGCTGTGTTCGCATTGCCGGCAGTAAGTCAGACCTGTTCCCGGTGAATGTTGGCCTCCGACAGGGCTGCCCTTTGTCACCGGTTCTGTTCACTGTATTTATGGACAGAATATCTAGGCGCAGCCAGGGGTCGGAGGGGGTCCGGTTCGGAGACCACAGGATTTCATCTCTGCTGTTTGCGGACGATGTTGTCCTGTTGGCTCCAACGAACCAGGACCTGCAGCATGCACTGGGACGGTTTGCAGCCGAGTGTGAAGCGGCTGGGATGAGAATCAGCACCTCCAAATCCGAGGCCATGGTGCTCGACCGGAAAAAGGTGCCTTGCCCTCTTCAGGTGGGTGGAGAGGTCCTTCCTCAAGTGGAGGAGTTCAAGTATCTCGGGGTCTTGTTCACGAGTGAGGGAAGAATGGAGCGTGAGATTGACAGGCGGATCGGTGCAGCGTGCGCAGTGATGCGGTCGCTGTATCGGACCGTTGTGGTAAAGAGGGAGCTGAGCCGAAAGGCAAAGCTCTCGATTTACCGGTCAATCTTCGTTCCCTCCCTCACCTATGGTCATGAGCTTTGGGTAATGACCGAAAGAACGAGATCGCGGATACAAGCGGTCGAAATGAGCTTCCTCCGCAGAGTGGCTGGGCGCTCCCTTAGAGATAGGGTGAGGAGCTCAGTCACACGGGAGGAGCTCGGAGTAGAGCCGCTGCTTCTCCACGTCGAGAGGAACCAGTTGAGGTGGCTCGGGCATCTGTTCCGGATGCCTCCTGGACGCCTCCCTGGGGAGGTGTTCCGGGCACGTCCCACCGGGAGGAGGCCCCGCGGAAGACCTAGGACACGCTGGAGGGACTATGTCTCTCAGCTGGCCTGGGAACGCCTTGGGGTCCCCCCGGACGAGCTGGAGGAAGTGTGTGTGGATAGGGAAGTCTGGGCGTCTCTGCTTAGACTGCTGCCCCCGCGACCCGGCAACGGATAAAGCGGAAGAAAATGGATGGATGGATGGAAAGTTTTATGAATTCCCGAGGATAACGCAATGCAGTACTTGAATCAGTATTCGGTACTGGCAAATACTCAAATTAAGGTATTTGTATCAGTTTTGGAAAAAGTGGTATCGGTGCATCCCTACTTATGATGATAATAACAAAAATGATAATTCTAGGGCTTCTTGTCTAATGTTTTTCTTAAGTGTTTTCTTAAACAGACTTGAGTGGCTTCAAAGTGCTCTCAGATTTGTGGGACTAACTCGTGTGGCTAATGTGACTAAATGCCATAGAATGTACGTGTAAGCCTTTTCTGACTTTTCTGGCCAAATATATTTAAAGTTTAATTTAGGATAATTTCTGGAAATTGTCTAAATGGGTAGATTAAGCACCCCGAAACCAAAAGTGATGAACACATAGAACTGTTTTCCTGCAAAAAAACAAAAAAAAAGTACTTTGGGATCATCAAACAATTATGCATGTATTTATTTATTTTTATCAGTTGAAGCCCAGACCTTGGCAACAGAGATCTTAAACTAGATTATGTAACTTAATTGTGTTTCCTATATCACATTCCATTTATTATAGAAACTGGATGCTCTATATAAATCTAGTTAATCTAATCAGGGAATACAAATGTCCGTGCATGGAAACTCTTCTGAACAGTGTGTGACGAATGCAAATACAAATTAGTCCCTTTGATATGTCCGAAGGTCGTTTATTGATTTCATCTTTCGTTGAACGTATTTGCCCTAACAGCAAGTCCAGTTCAAGTACTTTCAGATAAAACAAGTCTGATATAACTGTATACATCTGCAGCATAACCTTCAGTCCAGTCCTGAAACGGTCCTGTCCCGTTGGAATCTTGGGGTAGGACGTTCCTTTGAAACAGACTTCACAGTTCTCATGGTTGTGTTAATGACACATCAGCCACTTTGTATTTTTCAGCACTATTTGCGCAATGCACAGTCTTTGTTTATACAGCTCACTCAGCCACTGCCCATGCCACAGTCTCAACACTGCCCCCATGTGGTCACAGATGCACTGAGAACTCCCCTCTCACTCAACAGAATGTTCCTAGTGTTTGTTTGAACACAAAGCCACTCTCACTGAAGTCTTTCACTATCACTGGTCTTCATTGTGGCTCCTTTTGTGCATAGTTGTTGTCCTATTGTGCTATTTGTCTTTGTTGTGAAGTTGTGAATGTCCATTTTTATCTAGTGTCGATTTAGTTTCATGAAATGCAGTCCACAATCCCTTCAGTATGGAGGCATTTACCCCAGACAGGCTCAGCCTTTATACACTTTCAAATAGGGCTTCAAAAATTGATCGCACGAATGAAGCTCAAAGCTGATGGTGCTGTGGAATGATGGAGGGGCGGAGGGACATACCAGCTGCTGAGACCAGGCCCATGTTTTCTGTCTGGATAACAACAGCACTCAAACATGTCTGTGATGGCAGCCCGGAGGCAAGCTTCAAAACAACTCCAGAAAGCCCTCTTTTGTCATATACGCTGAAGAGGCCTTTTTTCTGGCTCAAGTCTGTATCTAAACCTTTCCACTGCTTTCTGTCCCAGTTGCTTTATTTAACTCTGCAAAAAACATGGTCAATCAGTTCATCTCCCATTCGGTCAGGAAGTTCATTTAAAGAAAAGGGAACTCCATGCGAAAAGAAATCATGTATATTTGTTACCACCTGTTTTCTTCTTAAACATCTCCAAATAAGGTACAAATTCAAACATTCTGTCTGAGAATACTTGAAACTTTCTTTGAAGTTGAAGCCCTGTAGTTTTTCCCTCTGGTGAATAATTTACTCGCATTACATGTGGGAACAATCTCTGCACAGAGAAGGATCAGACTTCAAAGCCTGTCCACATTTTCTATGGTAAAAATAAAGAAGGGTAAAGCTGGTGTCTGGGGATAGAATATATTTGACCGTAGAATTTGGAGTATTAACATTTTCACAGTTGAGGAATATGTCTCTGAATTAGATTTAGGGACCTGTAAGAAGGAAACGGCTCTAAGAAGAGCCCATGTTAAACCCTGTTTCACTGTTTTGCTAATTTTATGTCACTACAGTTCGTATAGAGTTCAAACTGGTCCAGGTTCAGCCTAAAATGTATTATTTGGCTCCAAACAAGATGGGCACATTCTTGTTTAATGTTTTCACATTGTGATGGTAATATTTGATCAATTAGCTGACAAATTCATCCAGTGGTACCTGGGCAGGCACATCGGTGTAGTAAGGGCCTAACAAGTACTTTGTTTGAATTATTATCTCATATTGTAGGTCTCACCAAAATGATCAAAGCAAACATGGACTTTTGAAGCTTAAGTTATGAGCTCAACATTACTATTCCAAATGTTACCACATATGTTCCTTAGCTTGTGGTCTGTGTTTTTGGTGAACTGGCTCCCTCTAGTGGTTCTTTTTTGTTTAACTGACTAAGAATGTTTTGCAGCCAACGAGGAGACCGTCTTTAACTCCTCCGACGGCAAATACTATCTCATGGGAGGAGTACATCACAGCTGACAATGGAAAGTGAGTGACCCCACGGCTCACATCACACAATTACACTGTTGTATGACAACTTTGCATTCTGATAATTTCATTCGCTCAGAGCTCCACATCTTGGAAGAGAACTTGTCTGCAAGGAAAGCAAGAAGAACTTCAAAGCTACAATAGCAATGAGTCAAGATTTCCCTCTGGGCATTGAATCGTATGTACCGTAGTTGAGATTAGGATAAAAAGTTTTTTTTATGTGTTTTTCACGTCATCCATGTTATGCACTTTGTTGTCAGATTGTTAAATGTCCTGGAGGTTATTGCACCATTCAAGCACTTTAATAAACTCAGGGAGTTTGTTCAGATGAAGCTCCCTCCAGGTTTTCCAGTCAAGCTTGGTAAGTAACCAAAAGATCTTATTGAAAGTCTAAGATTATATTGTAGGATTAAAACGTTTGCTTTGTGTTTGCTTTCAGACATCCCTGTTTTTCCTACAATCACAGCCACCGTGACATTTCAGGAGTTTCGCTATGATAAGTTTGAGCCATCTATTTTTACCATTCCTGATGAATACAAAGAAGACCCTAGTCGATTTCCTGATCTTTAACTTTGTACCTGATAAGACCAAAATTGGGGAATCTTTAGCCCAATAAATGGCAAGATAATGAAGCATAACAGGTATGAATAATGTTAACCACTAGAGCCTGTGGAACAAAAACACGTTCAAGTCGAAGGGCAGTTGTGTGTCTGAACCAGAAAAGCTAAGGGCATTGACAGGTTGGTTCCCTGGGCAAAGGGAAGCTTTGTAACCAGGTTTGTATGTACTGTTCATAAAGGGACTGGAATAAGCGACTGTAGTCCATCACTGATTTGTATGAGGGAGGGATTTTACTAACACTTAGACATTATTATTAGACTGTTTGTCACAGACAGAACAAAGATGACCGTTCAGTCTAAATTGATCGTTTTCAGTTCACTACTGACTTACTACTTCAGTGAAGTAGTAAGTCAGATATTAAAATTTGATAAATCATCTCATTGTATTGACAGGACACTTCATGATGCACTGTAATCAGAGTAAATCAGAGTAAATAAAGGCAGACTTTAACTGGTCCCAAACCATTCAAAGTTAAAGGACCAGTGCAGTCCAGCAGCAAATCAAAACAGTGGGCTCGTACATTTGCTGCTGCCATGGGTGTATTCTGTGATTTCTGTCCTTTTACACAAGGTTTATCTCCACAGTATGTAAATACTGTAGATATGTGAGATACCTTCTTTAGTTCTATTTGTGAGGGAAAATGTGTTTTTCTGTGTAGGTTATGTTTACTTTGATTAGTATACTGTTGCTATTTTTGTATGAATTTGTATAATTTTACCTTTTCTTCATTTGAATACTTTCTTAAATCTTTTAATGTGTGTGTGTAAACTTTGTATTTACATAAATGTGAAAAGCACAAGGTAATGTCCTTTAAAAAAAATTGTGTCCTTACATCTGCTGCTACGGCGCCTGAGCCACACTGTGTGGATACAATCTGCAGAAGCGCCAATGCTCTTTAAGCGAATGCACATTCATTAACAAGGTATTAATTACTGAATCGTTACATTTGATTTGGTCTGTCCTTACCCAGATGGGCCTCCACATCCTTTTGTTTCAAATGTTATTCATTCTAATCTCGGTTTTTAATTACAGTGCTCTAGAATGAGTCACTATCTATGGGAATTGTACAGCAAAATATGTATGCTACACTATTTTTATATTTAAAAAAATATTAAAAATAAAATCTTACATGCAACAATGTGTCAGCTGTGTTTTGACAGAGCCTCTCAGAAGTGATCCCATGCAGTTACCTGTCTGAGAAACATAGCTCAACTTTGTGACAATGTGGACAGAATCTTCAGGAAAGATGGGCCACTGATTAAAGTACTGGCGCACTCGCCTCTCAGCAAGGTCCTGGGTTCGAATCCTGGTCGGACCAGGGCCTTTCTGAGTGGAGTTTGCATGTTCTCACCGTGTCTGCGTAAGTTTCCCCCGGGTACTCCGGTTTCCCCTACCACTAAAAACATGCACAATAGGTCTGGCATGCGCCTCCTGTTCGGTGACCCCGCTCCCATCCCTGTGTGGAGTGAGAGGACAAGTGCCCAAAAAAAAAAAAACAATTGTAAGCAGCTTTGTGACTCTGGTCTGTGAAAGGCGGTATATAAATAAATATTTACTTAAATATCAGTCTGGAATTGGATGCAGGAATTTGTTAAGGAATGGAACAGTACCTCTAGGTATGTGCTCTAGGAGTGCTTTTCACCCCTAGAGCGTTTAAAAAGTATCTCTAGGGTAATTTCATTGATTCATCCAAATGGGGAGCTGCAACAGTTCTGTGTGTTCTGCATTAAAAGGCAAAAAAAAATCAAATTTTTTTATTTAAAAAAATGCATTTAATAGGTCAGACTATACATTTAAATGTTTTACAAATGTAATCCCACTTTCCTTAAACAAAAAAAATGTAGATTATGACATCACTCTAGGAATTTCTATCACGATTGATCGAGGGCACGTGAATGGTATCCATCTTAAATGCAGTAGATCAGAGAATGCACCTGATCTTCAAATCATGTTTATTACTCTGTGACATGGGGACTGTCAAAACTGTTATTCAATGGCTTTACTCACATTTGCCCACTGTGAGACAAAATGTTTCTCAACTTTACCAAAGAATTTCAAGGAAGAATGAAATGTCATTTATCTGAGTGAGGGACAAAACTCCAGGGCCTCAAACATTGTTTTAAAATTGCACCCATTTAAAGCAGGCACTTTAGAGCCCCTTGTTCAGACTTGTCTGGCGCACAAATAAAAGATGTGACAAACTAAAGTATAGGATCATGAACCGTGTCAATAGAGCCAAACGTAGGAGGTTATCTGTGTTCCTAGAGTGATGAAACACCAGTCTACCCTCTGTACATTCCAAATTTAATTTCGATCCTTTTTTTCCCCAAAAACTGGTTTTATTGATGGAAAACTAATTTACATTTAAAACATGTGTCATTCCACCAAAAAAAGAATTGAATTAGAAGATCATAAAAACCTGTTGAATGCGCTTTCAATATATCAAAGAGCAGTAGTAAAATGGTGGTCACTCAGTCGCTCATCACCATGTCCTCCTGCTGGTCGCCGTTTAATTTGGACTTTTTAGAGGCATCAGTGCTGAGGTCACTCGGGCCTTTGGGGGAGGAGTTGGTGTCAGACTCGCTCTTTCTCTCATCCTCTTCCTCTGCTCGTCTGTCACTGTCGTAACCTTGTTCTTCTTCATCATAATCCCTGGTCACCTATCCAAAGACAAACCATGATCAAAACAAAGATTGGACCAAAACAACACTGAGGAGTTTGAGAGAATGACATTCAAAACACAGGAAATGTTCCTGCTTCAAATCCTGTGAGAAGAGACACGCATCTAAAGGCTCCTTTCAAGTTATTTTATAAAAGGCAATGAATGTTTGAGTTAGAGAGTGCTCCTAATTTTTAGGTTAACACTAGGACCGCCGTGCTCTAAACATACCTTGCACCGCCCCCTGCGGTCAGTTGACCGCTATGTATTTTGCGCTGATACAGCCTTTTGCCAAATTGATTGTTCACTAAACCAGAATTTGTTGTTGCAAGGAAATCGTGATCATAATGAAACTGTGTAAATTATTTGTCTAAATATGCTAAGTAATTGTAATTCCAGCCGAAATAAAAAAAAATTACGAAGACTTTTCTGGCTAGATTTATTTTGTAACTTTGCAAACACGTAAAAGGTCGGTCACTATATGTTAAATTTGACTCAGTAACAATATGTAAATTCAAACAATATAAATGATAGTTTAGAGCACGGGACCATAACGTCTTTGCGCTGCTATATACGTCTACTTCTTACGTCATCTCCAGACTGTTTTCTCTTTCCAGCCGAAATCACTGTGGGAAATATTATCTCGATAATAATAATAGTATTCGTATTGACACAAGATCATCAGCTAGGCTACCATCGTCAATGTAAAATCTTCAATTTTACACGGGACACGTTATATATATATATTTGTATTTATTTGAGACAAGCAGTGCTCTTTATGATCAGAAGAAAATTATAATCATTGCCTTGCAGTGCGCGCTGTGCAGAATAGCACACAGTGTTATCTGGATGAAATAAGAATGAGATCCTTATTGATATATGAGGGCCGCTTCTGCCCCACAGTCGCTCTCCTCCTGCAGGTGTCCGCGGGTGACGAGAGGCCTCACAGCGCTCTATCTGCACTCTGCCTTGATAGTTCATCTAATTGTTCTATTTTATTGCGATATTGTATTCTGCTTTATTGCCTTCTTCTATGTATAAATATAAGAATGTAATTGATGATGAATGAAAAGGCAGAATGGAGCAACAGCGCGCACACAGACACCTGCGTATGGCTGGCATTACGCAGGTCATGTGCGTTATTGCTTCTGGACTTGTTCCAACACTGCTGTCCGTGCCGTGAATGCACTACGGGTTTACGTTCAGATTTAGAATATTATAGGTGTTCTCCCCGCTGTGACATCTCACCTCCGTCAGACTGTTCTCATTCAATGTCTTGAAGCACTGTCTGGGCTTCATACCGTGTACTTGCAGCTCTATTCATGTAATACTCCTCAATTCAAAACTCTTTCTCTCTCCCAAATAATAAAAAAAACCTCAAGTCCCTTTAGAGTCTAATGACAACATATTGATAGTAAGTAAGTTTTTATTTATATACCGCCTTTTCACTGCAGATCTGAGTCTCAAAGCGGTTTACAATTGTTAATTTGTTTTTTTTTTTTTTGGGCATTTGTCTCTCACTCCACACAGAGATGGGAGCGGGGCCAGTACAGGAGGCGCATGCCTGAACTATTGGACATATTTTTAGTTGTAGGGGAAACCGGAGTACCCGGAGGAAACCTACGCAGACACGGGGAGAACATGCAAACTCCACTCAGAAAGGCCCTGGTCCGACCGGGATTCGAACCCAGGACCTTCTTGCTGAGAGGCGAGAGTGCTATCCACTCAGCCACCGTGCCGCCCGATACATTTTTATAAGGCGCGAAAAAACCCCGGGAAAGGTTACTATGACAACATTCGCCCCTGCGCCATGTATCCCTATGGGGCAGCAGAAAGGGCTGTGGTTTAGAAAAGTTAAAATGCGTGTAAATCTTGTTTTCTTTACTTTTTCCAAAAACAAAACACACCAAAATATAAACAACAAGTACCCAGTAAAAGTCATAAAATTTCAACTTCTGGCGTTTTGTTTTGAATACACTAATTAGCATATTAAAGTGAGTGACGGTCAGTTGGCCGCTAGGGGCGCTCCTAGTGTTAAAAGCTGCACTAACTCACTTTGTGAAATTTTCGAATTTCGCTCTTTCTGCTCGCCCTCCCCACACTCACGGAGCTCTCGAGAGAGCTCCTAACTTAAGCTAAGACTCCTAGCTAGGAATTTTTAGGTTAAGTTATTCCAAAACATTCTCAGGGAACTCTGAGCAAAAAATGGACAAAAACTTCTATCATAGTGCAGAGGCGTGGCCGACCCTGTTGCTATGAGTCATCATTTCATACGCTGAGATTGGTTGATCCTAAAAGTTAGAAGTTTTGGTGATAATGGGCAGAATAAGGACCCTCAAATTAAATGAATCATGGAATCTAATCTAAGGCAGACTGTCGTTGTAAATAATATTCCTCATAATAAATATACAGAAATGTAAAATTAAATTTTTACTGTGAATAGTAAGTTATACTGTATTAACACAGTGATAGTTATATTTATTTGCTTATATTAATTGCCATGCTGGTCATTTTTTCTCTTTCAACTTATACCATTTTGGTGTTTAACAAGTGCACAGCTGTATAAGAAGCTGTGTCGGTTGACTTTCAAACATATCACAAACAAGTCAACAGCAATGGAAAATAAAAGGAAACCCAACTGGACAGAGGAACAGTGTTTTGCTTCTCAGTTAAGTCAAAGTGAACGCATTTTGACTAGGGCTGCAATTTGGAGTTTAAAAGTCTAATGTCGCTAACAGACTCCCCAGTTTCCAACATTAACACCCCGAATCCTCAGGTTCATGATCCCCCTGACATGTCAAGACCCTCTTGGTCTTGACATGTACTTGGAAACGCCTAAAAAAATAAAAAATATAAACACACCAACCTTTACATCTCCTTTCTCACTGTCAGACTTGTGCTCTCGATCGCGTTCGTGTTCTCTTTCTTGTTCCTTATCTTTACTTTTCTTCTTTTTGCTGTTGGAGCGCTCCCTCTCGTCACGACTCCGCTCCTCTCTCTTGTCGCGCTCTTTTTCACGCCCCTTGTCCTTTTTCTTTTCCTTTTTATGGCTAAAACAAACAAACACAATTGGAGAATGATATTACAACTCCTATATTTTTAACTACTTCTCCTAACGCACAAACTCACCGTCTGGGAGAAGGGGAAGGCTTTTTACGAGGAGAGCGAGATGCACTGCGGCTCCGTCTGTGCCTTCTAAACCACATTCATGGAAGTCAACACATTACCTTTCAAAAGATTGTCCGTGTCATGTTCAAACTACTTACCGACTAATACTTCGCGACCTTCTAGCACTGCTGTAGCTTTTAGGGGGAGTTTTGGATCTCTTCTTTGACTTCTCATCTTTCCTTCTGTCCCTATGAAGAACACAATTGTATAAAATAAAATAATCAATACGATTCTCAAATTTACAGTTTAAAAGTTAATATAATATAAAATTTCCAGTAACAAAAACGCAGAGTACCTGGAGCGGCTTCGGCGGCTTCGGTCTCGTGAGCGGGACTTTCGGCGTCGCGGACTTTTGGACTTTCTGCTCCTTGAAGGAGTCCTGCGTCGTGACCTACTCCTGGACCGCCTGTCATAAAGGTAAGAGAAAATAACTATGAGGATTCTTGAGGTTTAACAATTATGTTTTACCTGTGTCTTGATCTGGAGCTTGTGCGGCGTGACCGAGAACGAGAGCGGGAATGCCTCCGCTTGTCATCTTTCTTGCCTTCAAACACAAACACCTTCAGTGGAAATACATTTTAAAGTGAATGGCCGGCATTAATGGAGTATTTACTTCCTGGTTCAATGACAGCAGATATCAAAGACTGGGCCTCTCGCACCCTCTTCATCGCTTCTTCAATTTCCTTACTGGAGGCGTCCGCCTTTAGGCCCGCACTCAAGCCAAGCCCCGCAGCTAATGGATTAAACCTGCCAATGGCATTAATTAGGACGGTCTTTAATGAAATTATACTAGAACAGGCCTATCAAACTTGTGCTAATATATTTCTAGGTTAGGCATGGCTTCTTTGTTGGTACTACTGCAGTTCTAGCTTAATTATCTTTTTATAAATATAATGGTAACAAAGAGGATCTTTTCACTAGCCCTGTACGAGAAGATTCAAACGTCTTACTTTGGGTCAATTGACTGCATGAGCTTGAGGAAGTCAGCACCCAGAGCCTGAAATTGAAAATGAGTATTCAAGTATTGTAGATTTAATTTACAATACCAGGGTTCCCGCTAGGACTTTTCGGAATAATTCATAATTACAAAAGTGTCCAATTAATCGAAGTGACTCGAGAAAAACAACAGTAAATTCCCCCAGCGCTGTGTTTATTCCCAGCATAGGGGTAAAAAGATAAATACAAATCTCTGCATAGGGCCATGAACACTCAGAAAGCACTGGAGAGAACCCTGATTACTATGATCTACTAAACAGGACCTCACCTGAGGACCATGCATTCCCATAGCAGCCATTTGTTCAAGGGTCGGCGCTCCAAGACCAAATGGTGAAGCCCCCATCTGTAACATGTGTTGGTAATTTATTGAACACTAAATAAAAACAGCCAAGAAATGGTTACAGCAAAGAGAACTCACTAAAGGATTAGGTGTTGGGAGAAGTCCTCCTCCGGGCATCATCCCTGCCACAGCATTGGCCGGAGCAAGCAGCGACATAGCTTTAGACTCATCAGGAATCACTCCTGGAGAGCAAAGAGAATATTTCAAAAAGTACATTATGAAAAAAGCTGCAGACAAGCCACCCCCGTCTAACTCATTGTATTGTAACACAATAAGACATCCATGATTCTTGCCTGTAAACCTTGCTTCCTGACTTATTTGTGAAAGCATCATTTAAGATTAGCAGGTATTTTTTGAAATCACAATGCACATTGTGGTCAACACTGCCGAGATGTTATCACCTGTGCTTGTATTTTAAGTCATGAACCAAACGTAAGCAAGCACAGCCAGTTGTCCCGCGAGATGTGCCCTCAACTTTCATGTTTTATGAACAATCGAGTCACGCCGGCTGCTTCGCTATAAAGCACACAAAAACATTGAGATACAAAAAAAACAAATTTGATTTAGGTGGAGACAAGAGGGTACATTTCAACATGTTACTAGTACAAATGAAGAAAATTATATCTTGGGAATGTTTTTAGTATTTCCACCACAAATACTTACAATCAAAATCAAATTTCACAGATTATCCCAATTTTACGTTTTTCTTATAACCCAAACTAGCACATGACAGAAAAAGTGGCAATACAACTAGATACTTTTCTCAACAAGGATTAATGAAAAAGTAATACAAAATTTCAAAATAAAAATCTATAAATTGTATGGCACTAGAAGATATGGAGTTGGAACATGTTTGATCATATCTGCTAGTGTAAAGTTAGACACATTTGCACTGGCACACACTCCTCAGAAAGGACACTTGAGAAACAGGATAAGGCTGCAGTAGAAAAAACTGATGGTGGCAAACTCGGCGGAGCCTGGTAAATAGGGTTGGCTCAACCAGCAAAAAGAACTGTAAAACACAACAACAAAAGAAACACCACTGTTAAATGTCAGATTCAATTTTCTTTTTATTGACTCTTTCCAAAAAAACAAAAAAAAAACAAAAGAGGACTATTACAGGTAAAGCCCAGCAAGTAATTTCTTTATTCATATAGCACATTTCACAGACCAAGGTCACACAAGAGTCCAACCATCAAGTACTGGTCTGTCCTTGGGCAAGACATTTATGCCACCAGTGTCTGCATACACTGTACACTGGTGCATGAATGTATGTAAATGGGTAGGGGTTAGGGGTTAGGGTTAGTTCCTTGATGTGAAGCACTTTGAGTCGTTTGATAAGGTAGAACAGTGCTATATTAATGTATTTTTGAAGCAACCACGTGCGGATGCTCTGCACGCTCTACATGAAGTCTATGCCAGTGGTTGAGGTTTCATTGGGAGGATCTGAGAACGACTATCAGTCCCATTACAGCTGGTTCCTGCCCTTTGAGCTACAAGGACATGCGCACTAAAAGCACGTGAGTGGATATTATGGCTTTTCAAGCATCTATCTTGTCAGGATACAGCTGCGCATGATGCCTACTGGAACCGATGCAGCGGTTGGCACTATTTTGAGACCACGGTGAAGAAACAATACCACAAAGGTTAATTCCACTTACATAAGTAATAGTCTAGCTTTGAAGAATTATTCTCAGTGTGATATTTTGTGGATTTACAATATATGTAATAAAGCTCCAATTTTTCCTGATTGGACTAAATTACTTTAATTTCTGCGTTTTAACTAAATTGTACATTTTATAAGGCGAAACAGTACCATATAGATGATGCTCTCTTGAGACACACGTTTGCCCAAATCTGCAGTAAAAATGTGGAAAAATGAGCTGGTTGTACAATGATCCACTGTTGGGTAGGGTTGAATCACTGTTGCGTTGATCAGGTGTGTACCATGTGCGTTTGTTAAGACTGCAGATTCATAATTCGTATAGTTAAATGTCATGAAATGGCTTAAAGGTCTAGTGGCATTATATATTTAAAAAAGGTATAAGAGCCCATCAATAGCCACCATTGAAATGCCAATATAGTCATTATCCTGACAGGTCAAGTTACAGAAAAGACATGCGTTGCAACTCTGCTGAACATATTGTTAGCCACATTCAGTTGGAAAACAAAAGTACCCACCTTCTGCAAAAGGGACCACAATGAGAGCTCTGTCCACAAAGACTGTGTTGGTCAGGTGCTGGGACACTCCCACAGACTCCGGCTCAAGGAACTTTACAAAACAGACACGGGAAGTCACAGGCATGTGAGAGTCACTGGAAAAAAACACAGACAAGTTGGGAAAAGAGCAACAATGACTTGAGACCATCTGCTAGTTTGCACCTGCTTCGATAATCAAAGCTGATACAAACCTGAAGATCGATACAAGGCTTTGCACCTGCAGTAACTCAAGGTCTGATTTGTTGATGTGTTGAACTTCAGTTCTTTTAATTTTTGCATTGGACTAAATTAGCTTCATTTACCCTTCATGTCAGGAGATTGTAAGTCTATTGGGCTTTAATAGTTCACAAATTGACGTAATAAATTAGGGAGGGGGACTTTAACAAAATGTTCAGAGAATCTCAGAAATGGGAAAAGGAAGAAATGATTCGATTTTGGAGATAATCCGGATCACTATGATACTTAGAGGTAGTATCATAGTGATCCGGATTATCTCCAAAATCGAATAATTTCTTCCTTTTCCCATCTGCACTCTGAAAGTGCTTTTAGTACTTCGGTGGTCATCATTAGCCAGATAGATTATTCTAATAATAATAAATACTAGTAATGCCTGGCACATGTACGCGATTTACAGTCTTATCAAATAAATCAAAGCGCTCCTGAAGTTCATTCATTCATCCCAATCCTTGCCGTTTGAAAATCCCTTAAAAGTGCACTAGATGTTTATTTTTTTCCAGGAAATAGAATAGCATTGAATCCTGGAATTTAATACATGACGTAACGTAAGTACAGTTTATACCAGACTAAGCCATTTTTCAGAACCATTTTCATGATACAATCCGCCGGCGGACCCTCCAGTAGGAAAATACATGGAGTCCTTTCGTAAAAAGTTGCTTCGTAAAATCATCACCGTTTAACTCTGTATAATTTCGTGGCCAGTTTATTGCATACTACTCTCCTTCGCTGAGCATATGTTGGATGTAAGCATGAGACTAAACAAACCAAGGGAGCTAGCATTAGCAGCTAGGCCTCAGAGGAGCCTGGTGGGTTTCTTCTCTTAGCGCATTTCTTAAATCGAGCCGGAAAACTGATACTCACTCCGGGGGAAACAGATGCAGCTCCTCTATGGACCCCAGAAACCCGAACAAAGTCCGCATTTGTTCGGAGGTTGTGCTCGGAGACACATTGGTCACTTGCACCACGCGCGTGTTACAATTCATTTTACCAGTGTTTCACGTAGCATATACTTCTTTGTAATTAATGGCTAAACTGGCACCAGTTTATAAAGAAAAAACACTAAATAAACGAATCAAGCATATTTTCCCTTATTATAGATCCATGATATTTTCTCACACGATTCCGTATCAGAGACTAAATTGTCGTTTCTTCCGTGGACGCCTCTTTGCTGTACCCGGAGTTGCCAGGACCATGTGACAGTATTTAGCCAAGGCCATTGACGCAGCCATGGGCTGATAACGCAGTGGGAACTCAACCTGGCAACCGACCAATTTTATTTTGTGCATTTTTATTTTTATTGTGCTTGATTTAAATTACAATAATAGTTATAGTTATTGGCATTCTTTGTACATTATTTTCATTTAACTACACAAAATAATAATAATAATAATAACAATACAAAGATAAGATACACTAGTCTACTCGGGTCTATTTATTTACTTATGAATGTATTATTTGTAGGCATGATTAATCGTCAATTATTACACACATGTAACCTATATTGTAGCAAATAATAACGACGAATCAAAAATGATGTTTTTGACCGAAATGTGTGGGCGTGGCTAAATTGTTGTCAGAAGCTGCTAAGACGCTAATGCTGTAGTCTCATCATGAGAAAATACTATTCAAAAGCATTTCGCCATCGTTGAGATTCTTAACCACGAATATACACTGGCCGAAGGTTTTCAGTCTTCTATGGGTGACATGCATTTGACTTGGTGCTTACATTTGACTTAACTTGACGACAAACTCGTAGCAGATCATTCATTAGCATCTTGTAGCTTGTGAGACCGAAGCGTGTTACTGGTTGGATTGATGATGCCAAAGCAGGGTTATGGTTTTTCCTCAAAAATACGACTGTGAACTTTCCACATCATGTGATCAAGATGCTCATGCAATGAGAAGTAATCATCTTCAAGTAAGAAGCAAGCATACATGTAAATAAACAAACGTTTTTTCTGTGTTTAAATATCCTACATGCATAATGTAAAATGATTAATATTTTGCAGATGCGTGGGTGAAATTGAATCCAAAAATGACAACATGAAGATCCCGTCAGAGGATTGTATAATTCCAACCTTCTCATGACATATATAAACAAGGAATGGGCATCCTCAGAACTTTGGCCAGAACCATGGGAAGGATCAGTACATTTAGATCCTATCAGTTTGTGGTTCTCCTGGCTGCTGCTCTGGCAGTTGTAGCTTTCTACTACTTTGGCACAGAAAGGCAAAACTTCTCCAGCACTACCAAGAGAATCAAGGAAACTCAAGCCAACCATAACTCCAACAGGAACGATGCAGATCTAACTGTGGACACCACATTCACTGCTTCACCTGACTCGAAGCATGCTGGAGTAGAACAGAATGAAGATGGAGTAAATACACAGGCTGAAGATGGGGAAGGTGTTCTAGCTAGTCATTTCCATGCTCTGATGATGTTTACTAAAGTGGACAAGAGTCGGAGCCTGCAGGATAAGTTTAAAGTAGCCATGTTGTCTATGATGATGCATGCAGACTTTCTGGATGATGAAGTGCTGGTGTTGCACTTCGTTAGTGACCCTGGAAGCCAGAAATTGGGGGAAAAAATACTTCAGGAATTTCTAAAAGATGCAACATTTAAGTATGAGGTAAGTCTTTTCATTATATTAGCTTTGTGGTATAACGCATGGTGTAATTAACCCATTTTAATCATGTTTTCATTTAGTAATTTTTTTTAAATATCCTGAGCCAGTATAAACAAAATCTTTGCAGAATTAGTTTGCTTGTGAATTATGTACGGTATATGCTTGTGACTTCTATTAGTTAATCAACACAAGAGGGCAGCATTTGTCTTCCATAAAACTATTCATTTGATTTAAGAGATGAAATGTTTCTTATTCAGCCTGTGTATTTACTCCATAATACTCTGTCCTAGTTCTTGTATTTTCACAATACCTAAGCCCATTAACCTATTTTTATTCTCAACAACCACCACCTCTAATTGGTCTGATGCAATGCTCCATGTGTCGTGTGGAGGTAATTTCTTAAACATGGAGTTGTGTTTTTTGGTGAGAAAATCAGTGAATACATTCTGCAAGCTACATGAATGGCGTTCTGATCCATATTAGCTTTTATATATTAATGGAATGTCCTGTTTTGACCAGTGCTGTAGGCTCCCTGATACACAGATGTTGTTCGGTGGATGCCACTGAGGGTCAAGAGCAGTGCCTCCAGCAATGCTAAACAAAATATTGTTCTCTGAGACAACTCTTACACAATTTCCTGTCCTTCAGGGACATTGCATTTGCAAAAGTTCACAAAACTAGTTGGGTTAAGCATTGTTATATTGTCTTATAAAACATTGCTTCATATGACTAGTTGCACACTATCCAAAACCAAAAACAGGATTAGCATTTTTTTTCTTGAGGACAAAAGCTGATATTGCTTGCCAACTTTCTCTTTAGAAATTCTGAAAGTGCAGCCCTCAAAGTCAACACTTGCCAAAATCTCTACAAAGAACTTTTTGCTTAGTACGCTGAGCATAAACTTTCCCTTCAAAACCAGATCACAAACATTTCTGGTCCAGATTTAGCTTTTCTACAAACATAGATTTAGAAACATATATTCAGATTTTTTTTTTAAAACACCTTTTCCTTCTTTAAATATTTTTCTATATACATAATTCCTCAATATTTCAATGACCTACTGTCTGCCCACTTTAAAAAAATCTAGAATAGAATTGTTTTCACAGAAGCCAACTTAAATAACTGGATTATCAAAAATACGCAGATATAATAATGTAACTAGAGTTAGTTTTAGCTGTTATCTTTTGTGATTTTACGTTTAGTCCAATACATGAATCTAAACCAGGACACAATATTTTCTGAACATTGTAATATTTTCACATATACTAGAGATAGTATTGTTATAATAATTTTGCCCAGAATTCTTCCGATGAGTCGAGACAATGTTCTTGTGACCCACTTTAGGAAATCACGTGTGTTTTGTGTAATGTGTGCAGTGCAGAGAGGATTATCTGTACATTTCTCATGTTGGATTTATTCATGAGTGACCAGGCTTTGAGACTATCGTTACTTTCTCATCTAATGTGCAGTCATAATTAGGGGTGGGAACCTCAGGGTACCTCACAATACGATACGATGTGTGATACAAAGCTCACAATAACGATTATCTCACGATTTATAAATATATATAAATTAAGTGAAAAATGGATAAAGTGAACAAGCAAAAATGCACATTTCAGTACAAATCTTACTTCTGTCTCACATCCAATAAAATCAATATGAACTTTCTACAGAAATTTGTAGAATGTGAAATGTAGCCATATATTTCCAAGTAAAGTAAAAAAAAAATTTAAAAAAATTAATCGATACTTAGCAAAAGTATATTGATAATCGATTGCGTGAGAAAGTATCACGATACATCACCATATCGATATATTGTCACACTCCTAGTCATAATGAACATGTCCATATTGAGAGAAGAAAATCAGATTATTGATAAAGATTCTGACATTAGAAAAGAATATGCTATAAAGGCATTTGTGAAGAGTAGTTTTAACCGAGCTCTGTTATGATTTCAGTATGGAGACAGCTGGTGGTCCACTGACTATAGAACTAACATAGTGCTAAATGCAATCCTAATTTCTTCATGCCAATCATTTCACTTTGTTGTCAAAGCATTCATCAGGTAGAACTGTTTAACACAAAACTTTTGCATTTCATCTGTACAACACATACATATTTATAATGGCTCGTATTTATAGAAGTTGGAGCAACAAGCAGAATTGAGTTTTCCTCTTTCCTTAGGTGTTATTTCATGATGAGCTGGCGCTGACTCACAAGCTGTTCCCGATTGTGGAGGCCATGCAGAAGCACTTCAGTGCAGGATCCGGAGCTTACTACAGCGATGCCATCTTTTTCCTTTCTGTGGCCATGCATCTCATCATGCCTGAAAGTAAGAGCCATAAAACTGCACCCACAGAAGGTCTACTGAAGTTATGGTGTCACAAATACTGACATTTACTAAAACATAACAAATAAAGTGTCTTCTTACATCTGAACTGTGCTCTAAACTACTGCCTTTTGAATTGAATCCCAATTAGGAATAGACCTCTAATTCCCAACGTTCTCAGCTAATCATTGGCATTTGAGATTTCTTTTATACCTTTAGTAAAATATGAATTGCAACATTGTTGTTAAGGTCATATCTGTGTCTCTGCTGCGAAGCACACCTCAGTGCAGCACGTGTCCGTTTGCAGGGAGGAGAGGTCTCACCAAAAGAAGCATCTCTCGTATTTGTGTTTTGGTAGCAGTGGTTTATGAACAAACTCAACAATTACGCTTTAGTCTGAATCAATTTTATCTGTAGTGCACAGATCTCATCTGATTCCAAAATAGTAATGTCATATTTTCTGTGGATATAATATCCTGTACAGATCTCTACCATTGTTTTTATTGTAATCAAAGGGGTGATTGCCACCAACCTCGGCATGTGCAAAATACAGCTATATCCCAATTTTTTTAAGTAGAATTATAGTACGCCATATGCCAGCCAGTTGTTTATGCCCCAAATGTTCACAAAAGACGGAAAGATTGAAAGTTGATGATGAGAAGGTCGGAAGCGAAAGAGATTTACTCTTATGTTCACCGCTGTTTGAGCTTCATCACGTTCACATGTGAGTTTTAAATCCTTATTGATCTCCTGAAGCCAAGTGCCCACATGACTGCTTTTATCTGCAAAAGGGCATTACACAAAGTGAGGGCTGCTGCACCAACCACTTTTTCCAGAAAGTGGTTGACATTTTTTGGATCCAAACAAAGTTAAAAGAAAGTATACAGTATATACAGTATGTTGCATATTTAGATAGATAGATAGACCTTTATTTACACACAGATACACAGAAAAAAACACACAGAGAAATGTGTCCATTAAAAAGAGAAAATTACAGCTGCTGTACAGTATAAAGGCATGACCTCCAGTAAGTCCATCATTTGGAGGTGAACTGCAGTGAGCAGAACTCAGAACTGACCGGAGTTTGAACAATTGCATTATTAGAACCGAACATTACAAGTGATATTTCATCATTGTGTTATATGTTTTTCTTTTTTCGACTCCCTCTAGATGCAAGCATGTCCTAACTTGAGCCTCAAGAACATTTTCCAAAGACAATAGAACTGACAGTCCTTCTTGTGAGCAGCAGCTAGAGAGATTTAAGTCTTCAATAAACAACAGCTAATAATCATAGTCAAACTATTTTAGGTCTTAGGTTGTTTTGGTGTCCAACTTATTCTGAATCAGAATTCTTTTTATTGCCATCGTGATTAGAAGGAAGTCTTGGTGCGAACAATTTATAAAATCAAAAATAGAATAAGGCATGCATCAAAATAAAACATATATAAAAATCTACTTAACATTCATTATAATTAGTACCACTCAAAGCCTTTAAATGGCCACTATATACAAGTGCACTAAGTACACACCCACACACACACACACACCCACACACACATTAGATGTTTGGTCAATGAATGCACTGTTTACCAACCGGGGACAATGTGACGGCATAATGGGTACGTGAAAAATAATAAATATATATTTGCTAAGTATATTTGTTTTAAATCTCTATGGGGATTATACATTTAAGCCCTGTCCACGTTGCAGCTGCATCTCCTGTCTCAAACGAAAAAGAGACAATTCTCTTTTCCAAAATATCCAATGAACAGTCCACCTTCTCACAGTGCAAGGACATATAAATCCTCCTTCCTGTTTTACTTGCACATGATGATTGTATAATGGATCCATGGATGAGCCCTGCACTCAAAAGAGTTATTTTACGCCCTTTGAAAATACTGAGCAGAGGTTCTGTTGCTACAGTGTATAAAGACCAGTGACAGGCGGCTTCCTTGTTTGGAGAGTACAGGCTATTGTCGGTCATTTCTTTCTCTCACACATTGCTGTATCACTGATAAATTGATGTGAATAATACATTTCCGTACGGAATGTTACCAACGCTAAAATCATAATTATTACTTATTATTTCACATTGCACATGTCAAGTACAAGTCTTCTGAATTTCTTAACAAAGAGTATGTACAATGAATAAACAAGTATAATGAATAAACACGTTTTGACATATTCTGTAGGAAGAATTCCCTGAACTACATAAGGTGCCTGTGAGTAGCCATTGAGATCTTAAGTTCTGCATCATGCATCCAACTTCAGCTCCACTAACATAGACATGTGATACCTTGTTGTAAAGCTCAGAATCTCTTAACAATAGTCTGCAGTCTGCATCCATTCCAATCAAGCAAGAGAACACCACACTCCACACATGTCATCAAATCTTCCAGTTAAGCCTGGACTCATTTAATCAAGTCTTCAGGTGAAGGTCTGCTTCTTCTTTGTTGGAATGAATTTATTCCTTTTATTATTGTCAAATTATTATAACATTTATTTGTGATCGTGGCACAAAAACATACATTTTGGGGAAATTTGATACAGCCTAACCCTGGGCTCAAGATTCCCCTCTACTGTGAGGCCAAGTCACTGCATGCTTCACTCAGTGATTTTTTGCAGCTGTAGTTAAGTGTTAAAATGACACGGTTTTGTTGTTTAATCAAACTGAAATGTCCCCACTGTGGGACTAATATAAAGGTAATCAGTAATTCATTGAAAAGCACAATGGATGATGCATAAGCTAAACTATGTTGTTTGTGAAGGAAAGATTATTATAATAGTGATTCTAAACGTTCAGGATTATGAGTTCAAAATGTTACACCGATAATATATAATAATATGAATATAACCTTAATATAATCGTTTTCCAATTTATTGTATTTTTTCTCTCCACGATGAGTGAGGCACTGGTCGTCTGTCAGTTCCTGGACAAGTCTGGTTAACTTAAGTGGCCCTTCTACTAAAGTTTCTGAGTGAGGCGATTCTGTAATGGAGACTCAGCCCTTTCTCCTCGCAGTCATCTCACTTTTTTAACACTATCAAGGCAGCTATGTAACACTGTCTAAACACTATCATTAAAGTTAGTCAATCAATCAATTTTTCTCCATCCATATAACTGCTCTGGTGTTTTCATCACCATGGTAACATGCAAAACAAAGGAAGCTGGAACAATGAACATGGCGCCTGCACATCCTGGAGGCCACTATTGTTCTGTCTCAAACTGAGCCCAGATACGGTTCATCACTGTCAGCTCCTTGTTTTTCTGAGGCCAATGACCAATATTCAGTCTGTATTATGTGTTCTAACTTTAGGTTCATTAAATTATTCATTTTCTTCCCTCCCCCCATGTTTAATTCAGATATTACCCGCATTGTCCAACTTGACCTGGACCTGAAGTACAAAACCAACATCAGGGACTTATTCCTGGAATTTCAGCACTTTCCTCCTGAGGCTGTCATCGGCATCACCAGAGAGATGCAGCCTGTGTACAGGTGAGCATCATGGGTCATTCACTTTACATTTGGACCTTTTCATTTCCATATATTTTTTTATGCATCAACTGCACTATAGGAGGATCTTTGTTTACATCCGCATGGGTGGCAAGAAGACAGAGCAGCACATACTGAAGCATGCATGCAACTAGTACTTTTAAAAGACCCTTCACACAAGAAGGTTTTTTCACCGTGGTAAAGTGGTCTGGCTTTTTGTTGTCCACGGTAAAGTGGTTCGCACCTTATGGTAAACATGGAAAAGGAAGGTGCGGGGATGAGCAACCAAAATGCAATTTAGAAAAAATAATTATAAAGAATATAAACAAGTTTTGTGACTACTTTCACTGCACACTTGTTCACTGTGATGCCCTCTACTACTTGGCAAAGTAACATTCACTTTTACTGAATAAATTACGATCAAATTGGGGTCAAAATGTATTGATCCACAATGCGATTTCTAAAATTCATCATCACAATGAACAAGTGTGCAGTGAAAGTAGTAGCAAAACTCATTTTTTTGGTTGCTCCTTTCTAAGTTTACCGTCAGGAACAGCATAAAGGGGCAACGCTTTTAATATGCGCAACCGTTTTTTGCTGTTCTTTTCCGAAGGAACGTTATCTGGCCCCAACGGGCCGTACAACCGACTACACAACAAGAGTGGACCGTTTGATTTGGTAAAACCTCTCTCCAAACTTCAAATAACTCTCTTGCATCCAGGAAGCTTTCTCTGCTTTTTTGCCACTCAGTCACGTGACTGGTGCAGAAAAACTACAAATAACTAAGTCCCTCAATGATCCTACTATTCATTGTCTAAAGGTATGTGTGATGTCTGATGTACAGTTTTATGCCGTCTCAATGAAAGCCAGAATAGTATAATCATTCAGTGCCACGTGATACAGTCTGAACTGTGGAGACACTGGTACGCCTGTTTGCTCTGAGGAGGGAGGCTTATTGCTGTGATTATAGGTGATGTTTTGTGTTTTTTGTGATGTGTTTGTCTTATCCTGGACCATGTGTCTGTAATAAAGTGTGATGATGAAGATGATTGTTCTACAAAATTACTGCATGTACTGAGCATCCAACAGTTTGAGAAACAGCTTAAGGAGGTGAAGTTGAATTTGCTCAAGAGAACAAAGCAGATAATCTGTGTAAATGAGATCCAACTCAACCAAAAAAGCCAAAGCAATGAAGGACGTGAAGGTTGAGCTGAGTGAAGTGAGAGAAGAGAATACATCACTTATCGATGAGTCTAAGGAACTAAAAGAACAGATTCAGAAATAAATCTGTCTGCAGCAATACCGAGAATGGCATTTTGAAAGACAATTGCTCTGCCTACAAACCGAGGAAGTTAAAGTAAAACTGCTACAGGAGATAGAGAATACAATGCTGCGTGAGAAGATGATCAATTTTGTCACAATGTGAAGATCTCAAAGATGGACAGTGAAACTACAGCTGGAAGTTTGACCAAAAGCTTAAGAAACAGAGCACATAGAGCTTCAGTTCGTGGCCATACCTGCATGTGAAAGCCAGATCATATCGTTGAGTCTTTAGACAAGAGAATTTGACCCACATTGCCTAGAGTGAGTCTGGTGTGTGGGTGAATGCTTTGTGGTAGTCAGAGGAGCTGATGCCCCATACCCGGTTGCCTCGCTTCTGTCAGTAGTAGTTCATCACCACCGTGTATGGAGTGAAAGAATAATGTGAAGCGTCTTTGAGTGTCCACAAAAGCGCTATCTAAAACTTATGCATTATTGAATTGGAGAAGGAGCCTTGGAAGTGGTACAGGAATATCCGGTGCTGCTAATTCCTCTGAACATACAATACAATACAGTCACAAGCCTGATTCACACTGCACAAAAACATTGGATTTTTTACTGAAAACTCTTGGTCCCCTCTTGCTTTCACACTGAGCGACAGGCGCTGACGTGACGGAATGGCATCTAACCTCTGCTAACATCAAGGCACCTCGCAACCAAGTCTTTTTGTTGCCGTACTCCGTGAGAACAACAAACTGTTTTCTAGATCGTTTTAAGCATATGTGGGTCAGGTGAAGTCTGACTCACAGGTGGGCAATACAGGTGCAATACTTTAGAAAGTTTAGATAATAACAGTGTAACAAGAGTGAAGCTCTCACTGTCATTTAGGGCTGTTGCACTGACTGTTCATGTGTTTTTTCCCCTTGAGTTGTTAGTATTCAGTGCATTCAAACAGTTAATGTGATTGTCTATTGACTGTCATGGACTCGCAGACCAAGGCCATGTTCCCTTTCCATTGCACTGTTTCCTGTCACAAGAGCTGCAGGCTCTCAGCAGTTTGGGTGCTAATGGACAGAGCATTATGCAGCAGAACACATCCTCCCACCAGCCACATTCAGAACACATCCTGCCACTGAAAAGTTCATTATTGGAATAAGCCCTTTGTCTTCCCCTCCAGCTGCTGTTGAAATGGTTTAAATTCCCACAAGATTGGTCCCAGTTACATAAGTGTCACCACAACACACCTAAAGCTCAGTGCAGTCGCCATGCACTGTCAGTTACTCCTGTGCGTAGAGTTGTGGGGGAAAAATGAATGATGTTGCTTGAAGAATTTATTTGTCTTTGTATTTTTTGTTTTTCGTTTCATGAAAATGTTTCCACGAATGGAAAGGAACATAAAAGTATCCATTTCAATATCATACAAACGTCAACAAAAACACACAACAACAAAACAACATACAACGTTCTAATTCATTTTTCTAAGAATCGCAATGATTGACAACCCATGCGAGCGCAATGATAACTTGATTGGTTAAACTGGACGGCATCGTGGATTTTGAGCTGCAGCTAAGATTAGGGAAAGCGGGAATTACCCATAATATTATAACTCATAAAGCGATATATTTTTTATATCAACATTTAAGTCCAGGAGTGCCCGAAGTGCACCATCCAGTGTCAAATATGGGGATGCAGCATCATGTTATGGAGCTGTTTTTCTTCAGTAGGGACAAAGACGTGTCAGAGTTGGTGGAAGGTGGATGGAGCAACATAAAGGATATGATTGTAAAACATGACAAATTGTGCATAAGTTTAAGCTTTATGAGTGCTTTCCCATGGAACTGTTACATAACTTATACAATACATTCAGTGTATCGTATAAGTGTGTATAAGTAAAAGTTCATAGTTTGGAGGTGTGGTCTCCTCTAACACTGCTGCACCAAGAGGCCTTCAACAACAGTCTCACAGACATGGGCCTTACAGACTTGTAGCTTTTCAATAGCTGTGCAGTACATATGGGTGAGCAGTACAATTTTCGTAAAAATCGATAGAATTGTCCGTGTAATTTACAGAGCTGCCCGGGCATGTCCTTATCATCGGAAAAGGGATAAAGTGCCGTATTTGACTTAATCATTAACATTTGAAAACTAACCACACAAAGAAAACTCTGGGAAAATAAATGTGACACCATTTGTTTGAGAAAGCTTTTTGCAGCTTTATATTTTAGATAATAATCAATGCCATATTGTGAACAAACATTTAGTAGCTGCTGAAGAACAGCACAAAATCTGCTTTTGCATTTCATCAATAATCACTAGGGCTGTAATTGCCATTTCTTTGGATTATTGATTATTTCATATAAACCACAGCTCAAGTGATGCCCCTGGAGAACATCTTCAAAGTGATATATTGTTATTCACTGTGTTGGTTTGGTTGATTTATAAATACTTTGTAGACATATTTTAATTTCATATTGCAGTCATTATAGAATGATCAAAGTCATGAAACCTCATTGCAGCGTGCTTTAGTCTAGATAAGGTTCAAGAACATATTAATCAAACTATTTCAATAATTTATTTTTTTGATTCCAGCTCCAATATTCTCAAACATCAATGTTTTTATGTACATAGATTGAACATAAACGTGTTGATTTGTGCAAGAAAGATGAATATTGGTACTGCATCAATGCTGCTGTCCGACAATACCAGAACATTTGTCCGTGCACATGCCTCATGCTGAGTGTGCTTTGTCATCGTTATGGAGAGAGGCAGACATTTCATCGCATTGTCTGAACTGGTCTGCCCTCCGTTATCCTGTCACTGGACAAACCAAGAACACATTTTGGTTTGGTTCGAAAAGCAGCACAGAATGTCCCATCACCTCCTAATGCTCGTACTTTGAGAGGCTCAGATGGTGCGAGAGACAGACACTTGAGTTCGAACAGTGGTAGTGGTGAACATGGTGTAAATTGCTCTAAGATGTGTGAACGGCCGCTGAGGAAGAAGACACCCTCGAGGGAGCACTGATCCTTTCCTTCCTATGTTTTAAAGATGATGTCTTTGGCTGCAAAAAAAATTATTGGGAATTATTGTTAACTTCACACATTCAAAGCTGTCAGAAAAGTATTTTTTAATGTTTAGTATCCAATGTTGGTGTCAACTCTATTTTGAGTATTATATAACATTCATGCATTTATTTCTTTTGTAACAAGCAATTGCTTCACTCAATGGGCAAAACATAATCACAAGTCACAGTGTACAAGTCAATAGCTGTTCTAAGTGGTTGTGTTATCTATGCATGTCGGAATATTACATTGTGGATCTCTCAGTAGAAAACATCTGTGCTGTTATGGGAGCACTGCAATCATTCGTGTATTGGGGCACGTAGCTCTAGTCTGTTTAAAAAAGACAAATACCCTGTGGAGTAATCGGTCCCCAGTCACCAAATCACAGTGAAACAGTGTGGATGAATGCAGTCGGCCCACAGCTGCTGAATATAGGTCAGTAAGAATATCAAAGCATGACTCAGAGGATCTGGCCCTCCCACCCTATCTGATCATAACACTGAGGGGTCACATGCACGAGGAGTCACTTTCCCACATACATTACAGATGCATTCATGCATTATCCTTCTATGTACAATATACACTTAGATCCAATGTTCAATTACGCACAAATCAACAGCATTTCTGTCTAGAACAAATGCAACACATTCTCCACAAGAGCTCATTGTTTGTTACTTGTGTTCACACTGTCAGTGTTCTTTTAGTAATATATTGCTTTCCGGGTCTGTCGTTTGCACTCATTTTAACCTGACAATACAATTAAATAAATTTAATGCATTTAGGGCCTGAAAAAAAAGAATCTCAACAAATCAAGGATTTCTTGTTTTCAATATTTGTAGACTCCAACACAGGTATGTGCTGGGAAGGACTCCCAAAGGAAACAAGAGTTCACTTTGAACCGATTGGGGAAATAATACTTAATTTGTGTGAAACCAGCAAAAATGCAGGAAATGCATAATGTTTTGTCTGGAAATATAATATTTGTCATAATATTCTCTCGTGGCTTCACTTTGGGATTTTGTGAGCAAGTAAGCAAGCAGCAGCAGCAGTAGATGAATTAATCAATCAATAAAATAATTTGTTTTATATAGCCTTGTATAACAAGGACCTGTTTTAATGTAATTAACTATGTATGCTTTTGCTGTTTCTCTTCTTTCAGACATACGTTTTGGCAGTTTCGAAAGGAGAATCCTCAGACCAAAGTGGGCGAGCCACCTCCAAACGGCCTGCCTGGGGTCAACAGTGGCGTGATGCTTCTGGACCTGGGGGCTATGAGGAACTCTGTCCTCTACAACCAGCTGCTGCAACCCAACAACGTGGCCAAGCTAGCAGAGCAGTACCGCTTCAGGGGCCACCTGGGGGACCAGGACTTCTTCTCCATGATCGGGATGGAGCATCCGCAGCTTTTCTACCCTCTGGCTTGTGGCTGGAACAGACAGCTGTGCACCTGGTGGAGGGACCATGGTTACACAGATGTGTTTCACATGTACTACCACTGTGAGGGGCCTGTGTACATCTACCATGGCAACTGTAACACACCCATACCCAATGACTGAAACCAAACCTAAATATCTAGGGATGATTTTTAGTGCTTTATGATTTAAAGTGCATATGACTGCTTGAACTACTATTTAATTAAATAGGTTTATGATAATAATATTTCAGATTTTACTATAATTGCAATAATTTGACACATGCAATGAAAACAGTGCTTTCATTTTTTACCCCATTTTTTTATGGATTCAACCATAATATATAGATATAGACAGTATATGATAGAGTTGACCTCTATCAGATACTGTCCACAAATCTGTTTCAGTGAGCACTTCCTCTTTGCTGAGACAATCCCACCTCAAGGTGTGGCATATGCAGATGCTTTTATGCACCAAGGATACTGCACAGGTGGGCTGATGGGAGGGGAGGCTCTGGGGGCCCTAAAACCAGGACCTTGTGTGACACCATTTGCCTCATTCAGTGCATCACCTCTTCTTCCTGATCAGAATGTTGAATTCATTTACATTTTTGATATTATCCCAACAAATGATGGTGAAACATTAAAACGTACACCTGTGTTATGCACTTTATTGCACACATAATATTCTCAAAAATTAGAGGACATTACACGTTGAAGAAGAAAATGTCCAAAATTGTCTTATTCATGATAATGTTTAGGCCATTATAGCCTTTGTCAGGTAATGTTCCTCTTATCACAGTGCAGAAAATAGTTGCCAGTCCAGGTGCTTATGAATGGGAGATTCCAGTTAGGTCACCCGGTAATTTCAGCCCATTTCATTTTTTCTTTTTTACTTTTGTACAGTGAAAAGATTTATCAAATAGCCGGTTTCCACCTGTAGTTCTTGCATATAAAGACAAACAATACAATTCTATATGTTCAAAGGCTTTTACAAGAAATGTGCTGCTCTTACTGGTTGACCTCACTAGGACCTCTCATTTATGTGTAATTCTTGCTTTTGCAACTTGTTCTACCCCATTTGCCCATCATTAAGAAGTATTTGGTGTGCGTTACCATCCTTTCTTGGACCAATATACTTTCCACCATTCAAATTAGTTTCTTGTTTGTTTGTAAAGGCACCAGTGTGTGTATTTGTATTGAAATGCACCTTTTCCAGTGCTTTTGGGAAGTGTAGACATATGCATTTTCATTTTCATGCAACAAGAAATTACCTTTTTTGTTTCTAATACATTGCCTGGCAGTATCCATGTACAAGTGAAACTGGAAAAAATTAATATTGTTCAAAAGTTCAATTTTACACACATCATGAGCTATATCAAGCTTTTATTGGATGACAAACAAGCTTGACACTTTGAATGTAATGAGTCTATACCATGAATTGGTTTCACGTTTTAAGTTATTTTACAAAAATGAATTATTTCTTGAACAATATTATGGTTTTCAAAGTTCCACCTTTGTGTGAAGTCTTTTTTTTCGCTTGTAATCCCAGTTATTATCAGCTTCCATTTTTAACTCTGCATCACCTATTGTCAACAACACTGAACTTACAGAATCCAATGTCATTCTTTTACTTAACCCTCATTTGTATTTAAAAAGAAGGGCTTTGTTGTGCCATTTTTTTCCTTTTATAAGCAACATTTTAGCCTAAAAATACCACTGTGACAGAGGTAGGTGAAGATGGGGTCAAGACATTGAATGACACAGATGGCTTTGCTTTCTGTGACGCCGAAGCAGCTGAACAATGAGAAACAAGCGCACGTTTTTTCGAAGTGACACGGTCATTGCCGTGACCCAGTTTTGTAAACACGGCTTCACTCGCTAAAGGAATACAGCAATTCCAAGAAAGCAATTCAACAGTCAATATGGTGAGAGGTGATGCTTTCAAATTCAAAAGGAGAAACATGGATGAAAACTGGACTGAAAGATACATACTCAAGAATCGTCAGTCTATGAATGTCCATAATTCAATCTTATATTAGTTTTGAAGGAGATCACCAATGCTTAAATGTTTTGGAATTTATATAATATGAATGTACATAGAAGAGATCAGGAGAAAAAATGGAAAAAACATTTCTTTTTAATTAGTTTCAGAGTATACCATTTGTATAATACATTTTTACTATACTTTTATATGAATTCATTCTTCAACGCAAAATCTCAATGAAAGTAATTGTTACAGAAACTCACTGAACTATATTAAATAAAAAAATGTTCAGGATTATTGATTTGTGGGTTCTTTTATAAATATGTTTGCGCGCTTGTCTGTGAGATGACCCACTTCTGTCACTCACTTGAGTGTGGACACTGGTGGGAAAAACATCAGTTTAAAACCTTTTTCCCAACATGGCATTAAAATCGCTATGCTGCAGCAAGAAATCTTCCTGGGTTTTGGCCTCTTGAGACGTCTTAGAAATAGGATTGTTTCTATCTGTGCTCGGTCGCATTGATGAGAGAGTTGGCATGTGAGACAACTGCTATAGCATTAACTTCCTCTAGATTACACAGCTACAGTATATTAGATGTATTATGTGTAGATTCAAGACACTTAACTCCACTTTGCCTGAAGCTCCCACTGAAAGATCTCAGCTCCTGTGGACTCAACACCTGCAGGAGGATCGATGAGGGGCTGGTGCTCTGTGTACTGGGTGCAGCTCTGACTGCCACCCCCACCCCCCGACCCAGAAATGGATTAAGGGGAAGAAAATGGATGGATGTGTAGATTAGTTCCACAGGAGGCAATTGTGCAGATAAAATGTACAGATGGCAAATAAGAATTTGGTCGTTGCCGATTGTGGAAGTTGTCCCACTTTACAAAAAATGCAATGGGTCCTTTCTTTTCACCATTGGCACATTTCAATGGTGAGTGACAGATTGAAAAAAAAAATCCATGAATGACATACTTTTTAATACAGTATTATGTATTGGCAAAATGGTGCGAAAAATATGTGTTTAACCATTTACAGAATTTCAACTCAATCCTCTATAATGTAAACTTAAAATCTCACAATACATGGCCATGCATTTCTCTGTATTACAGATCAGTCGTCTTATCTCTGCAGAAAAGTCCCAAATCATAATGTATTTAAGATACAGCACCTGAAAGGTCTTCCTACGGAAGCCAGCTCATGTTCAGGTCCGTCTGAGTTTTCCAGTGAACATCGTCGACTCAAATACCTTTATAAGAAATATGTCTCCGAACTTGCAAAGATGATCACTGTTGGCATTGAAGGCATCTTCCGTATACAGATCTCACAACGTTCTATACCTCTGACATTATGTCAGTTTTAACTGGTTAATAGACAGTTTTTGAATTTTAAAAACTATAATGTTATATATATATATATATATATACATAAGTCCACTCACCTTTGGCCCTCCGTGGGCGGTTATCCCTCTCTAAGCTCGGGTCCTCTACCAGAGGCCTGGGAGCTTGAGGGTTCTGTGCAGTATCTTTGCTGTTCCTAGATTTCTGGACCGAGATGTCCGAGGTTGTTCCAGGGATCCGCTGTAACCACTCTTCTAGCTTCGGGGTCACTGCCCCGAGTGCACCGATCACCACGGGCACTACTGTCACCTTTACCCTCCAGGCCCTCTCCAGCTCCTCTCAAGCTTTCCGTGTTCTTTTTTCCTGATGTTACCATCGCTTAGAATTGCCATGTCTACCACCACGACTTTCTTCTGCCCTTTGTCTACCACCCGCAATGTCAGGTTGGTTCGCCATTACCATTCTAGGCGGAAAATTTTGGGGTAGCCCACGTGAATTTAGTCTGGTTTAGTCTGCAGTACCGCGAGAATCCCCTGAGCACATGGGTTATTCAGCTCCAAGCTAGTAATACCCTATCTGTTTGATTTGCTCACAACCTTGTTGGATTTATATATATATATATATATATATATATATATATATATATATATATATATATATATACCGATAACGCTGAACGAGGCAGCAACTGACCTGAAAGCTAAGATTATGGCTAGAATGGGCACAGGGCAAAGACACCAGTTACAGCGGTTGTGTGAAGTACCACCTACAGCAAGGATCTCATAGAATGCGTGAATGCAGCAGTGAGGGCAATACCTACCACCACAATCACTGAAACAATAGCAGACGTTGAGGACAGTTACAAGTATCTCGGTATACCACAGGCAAATGGCAACCTCTAACAGGTGACGAGGAAAGCGGCAACTGCCAAATACCTCCAGCGAGTAAGGCAGGTCCTAAGAAGCCGGCTCAATGGCAAGAACAAGGCCCGGACAATTAACAGCTACGCCCTGCCAGTGAACACCCTGCAGGAATAATCAGGTGGCCAAAGGAAGAGATTCAGACCACGGATGTTAAAACTCGAAAGCTCCTTACCATGCATGGCGGGTTCCATCCCAAATCCAGCACTCTGAGACTGTACATAAGCCGTAAAGAAGGAGGCCGAGGACTAGTGAGTGTGAGAGCCACTGTCCAGGACGAAACATCCAAACTCCATAACTACATCATGGAGAAGGCCAAAACGGATGACGTACTCAGTGAAGGTCTCAGGCAGTGGCAAGATGAGGAGGTGCTGGAGGAGAGCCCATCATGGGAGAACAAGCCCCTACACGGCATGCACCACCGGAGCATAACAGAAGTGGCTGATCTCAAGAAGTCCTACCAATGGCTAGAAAGGGCTGGCCTACAGGACAGAGGCACTCATCATGGCTGCACAGGAGCAGGCCCTGAGCACCAGAGCGATAGAGGCCCAGATATACCACACCAGACAAGACCCAAGGTATCGGTTGTGCAAAGAGGCACCTGAGACGATCCAACACATAACTGCAGGGTGCAAGATGCTGACAGGGAAGGCCTACATGGAACGCCATAACCAAGTGGCTGGCATAGTGTACAGAAACATCTGTGCAGAGTATGGGCTGGAAACTCCAAGGTCTAAGTGGGAAACTCCTCCAAAGGTGGTGGAGAATGAGCGTGCGAAGATCCTGTGGGACTTCCAGATACAGACCGACCGAATGGTAATGGCGAACCAACCTGACATTGTGGTGGTAGACAAAGGGCAGAGGACAGCCGTGGTGGTGGACGTGGCAATTCCAAGC